TATGCACCAAGTTTCATCACTCTTACTTAATTAGAACCAAAGTTATCGTGTCCCAAAGCATGAACCAATCAAAATACTTATCTCTGCTTACACTTAGTAGAAATGCTCATATTCAAGGTATTCACCTAATAAACACCTGCACCAAGTTTGGACATTCTAGCTCAATTAGAAGGAGAGTTATTGTGTCCCAAAATGTGTGACGGACAGGGAGACGGACGGACAGACAGACAGGCCCATTTTAAGTCTCCTGCTTTCTTCGAAAGGCGGGGGACAATAATAGCCATCCGATTCCTATCTATACTCGTATTCCTTAATCCTGAAAATGTACGTTAAAGTAGCTAAGTCCGTAACTCAATATCATCCAAAATCTTCGACATTGAAAACATTTTACCATTGGTACACGAATCGTGTACCACGATGCGTTTCAGCGCCGTTTGTAACAAGGTGCTCAAAGAATGAGGCTAGACATATTCCACAAGTCATGTCAAACGGTGATATCATGTTCTTATTTGGAGAGCATGCGCAATAAATAATATCGGTGTTGACTGGAATAACCAGACGCTAGAAATTGACTTGAGGTTGAGACTTCTGGCGTATTTCGTCGAACATAACTGATGACAAGTCACAGTAAAACGGACACGATTGAATGTAAAACAGTTTATATAAATTCATATTACATTATTATATGTGTTGCGACCCATTTGTGCCAATTTCTAGGTCCAAAATATTAGCGATTTAGCTCCTTTAAGGCACCAAGACGGCGATCCTAAGCGGTTTAGAAGCTGATATATTATTATTGGTAGATTATAGGTTTTTATATTGCGGGAATTTTGAAGACCCAAGATAGCCGCCATAATATATTTGGAGGAAATAGTGCATGTCTAATCTAGACTGTGTAAGTTTACCCCATGGCCCTGGAAAGGTAGGTTTAGACACCAAGATTGCGATCATAGGTACTTTAAATTTATACGCACTGTTTAAGGTCAAGAGACGAAGAAGCCTATTGATTTTCAACTATTTCCGATAATTACTGCCAGAGTTATGGCCCTTGATCACTTTGAAAAATCTTGTGGACGCTCTAGAGGCTAAAGTAACAAAATAGGGCCAAAATATTATTATAAGCGTGTGAAAATTTTTAAATATTTTAATACTTATAGTCCTTGGCAGTTGGAATACGAAATAAGAGTAGGCCATAGTGCCGCTGTCCGGGCAACATTTCCCTCACAGCACAGTGCATGGCGTATGCCCGTCTTCATTAGCCCAGTCGGAGCAGAAAAGTAGGGCGTTAAACCCCATTTCATTTCATTTCATATTTTAAGGACCTTATTTATTGTTTTAACCAAAGGTTTCTTTTAGCAATTACTAAAGAATTATGATTTTTAGAACCTCAGGTATTTGGTAGCATCTGGGGGAAATTTTGTCTGGAAAGTCCTCATCTATCTCAAAAATCTGGTCCTAAGCTGCCTGACTACTGACAATAAAGCCAATTATGACAGACAAAATGGTGGCAAATCCTGAACTTGTACTCGACAATAACCCTGTTGCCATTACAAATTTGAAGCGTACCAAGAACGGTGCCGAGAACGGTGAACGATTATTTTTTTGTATATTGTAAACGGGTCAAACATAACCCTGCCGCACTGAGAACCCTGCCAATCTGGACCGCCGAGACCACCGTTCTCAATACGACATGGTTGAATTTTCTCAGAACGGTTCTTAGTATGGATATCTGCGCAAATGTTAGCACAAGGTTGTCCCTTTTCGCTGTGACTGAAATCAACCTTTCTATGGAGAGTTTCACATTTAGCGTAGCTACAATATTGCCGCGCTAAACCGTGTTTAGCTCTACAATTGGTACAGTCTAGGAGGCCTTGCGCAAGTAAAAATAGGTTCAAACGCACAGTTGTCAACACATATCATTACAATCTGTATTGAAATAAGAAATTATATCATAAATAGTGAAGATTGGACCACTAAAATGTGTACCGAACAGTTTTTCTTTGTGGTAATGCGTTCTGCATTTTCGAAGCGATATTTCTAATAATGGTGAAATATCGCCAAATAACGCGCTGCGTTAACTCCGCCCTTCGCATTCCTTATTAGGCAGTGTAACTACGCTAGTTTACTATGATAGTCATATGGAAAGTGACGGAGTGCGCATGCTATTTGTGGCTGGACGGACATTTTAAGTTGGATAGGAGAGCAATTTCGCGTAGCAGTTGGGTTTCATCAAATCATATATAATTATGCGGTAAGGCTTCACCTTTATTTCAATGGGAATTGGTTTATTATATTATGTTAAGTTATGTACAGTACAGTTTGGGGGGGTCAGTTTACGTGGAAATTAAGGGAGCTATAGACCAGTAACGTTTTTTGTAGTCATTTGCTCAAAGAAACTGCTCTGGCTGGAATAAGACGGAAGACATCAGTAGTGAAACCATTTCTACATTTAGCGCACAAGACACGGTTCCGAGTACGGTCATTAGAGACTTTTGGCAAGCGTAATTTCCTGGTCCGTATCGCGTATCCGTATGGATTTTGCGTGTGACGTCATCAATGTCTGTGTATTTCTCATACGTGATACGGCACACGGATACGGCAGCACGTATGGAACGGCTTTCATACGGAAATGGTCCGTATAACACTGTCGTCTTTTTACCGTCTTTTTTGCTACTTTTAGACGCTGAAATGTTGCATCATAGCGTTTTTATGAATCTATGTGTATCCTGGAACACGAAGGTGTATATTTGATGTGATTTTAACAGTGATAACGACTGCAATTTAATCATTTTTTTTATGGGTTTTTCTCGGAATTTTCATATTTTTCCCGCCTGTCTGCATACTGGTTGATCTATGGACTAAACTTTCTGAAATGATACATTAGTGAAACCAAAAATTGCTAAAATCTGCCAAAACTCTAAAACTACATTGACGCAACGTATCACGTATACGATACGGATACGGGACACGGATGGGAAAAATCCGCTTGCCAAAAGTCTCTATTAGAGACTTTTGGCAAGCGTAAATTTCTGGTCCGTATCGCGTATCCGTTTGGATTTTGTGTGTGACGTCATCAATGTGTGTGTATTTCTCATACGTAATACGGCACACGGATACGACAACACGTATCGAACAGATTCCATACGGAAAAGGTCCGTATAACATTGTCATCTTTTTACCGTCCTTTTTGCTACTTTTAAACACCGAAATGTTGTATGATAGCGTTTTTATCATTCAATGTGTATCCTAGAACAAGAAGGTGTATATTTGCTATGATTTTAACCATGATAAAGATTGAAATTTAATCATTTTTTTTATGGGTTTTTATCGGAATTTTCATATTTTTCCTGTGTGTGTGTCTGTCTGCATGCTGCTTGATCTACGCGATAAATTTAGGGAGGTGGGACCTTGCAAATCTGTAGATGATTTTATTCTTCTATGGTAAAGGGGTATAAACTTTCTGAAATGATACATTATTAGTGAAACCAAAAATTGCTGTCAGTTGAAGTCGAAGATGTGTAATAAGATTCGACATTGAATTTTTTTTAATAGCTCAGCGACATCGGACGACTTTACTACCTTCGGGAAATTGTAGGCTAGGCACTTGACTAATACTGATGGTGATCTTGGTAGATATCTGCCGTTATGCTGTAATAGAACTACACTCAGCTCAGCCATGCAGACGTACGCGACGTGAAAATCTGCCAAAACTCTAAAACTACATAGACGCAGCGTATCACGTATACGATACGGATACGTGATACGAATGGGAAAATTGCGCTTGCCAAAAGTCTCTATCGTGTCGCACTCACTGTAAACGGTGCAATTTGTTGAATTATGTCGCAGTCTAGAACGGTTCCTAGTACGGTATACTTTATACGAATAAGGTTGTGTGCAATAGACAGATTCACATCCGGTAATATGTTACAAATAACGTTATGCATAGACGTCGCTGGTGACTACTCTTTGTCATACAGCTTTAAAAGATATGTTGACAGGCAACTAAACATACACCCACAGCAGCTAAGTCGTCCGATAGTCAACAGGGGTTGTCGCATATGTTTTCTTTGTTCAGTAATGAGAACATTTACAACACATGAATATATGACGAGTAATAACCTATTGAAGATACATTATGTAAGATTTAGATAAAGAACTGGTCATTCGTGCTATAATAGCTCAAAAATAGATAATGCAAAATGAAAATATTGAAAATTTCATCAAATTACTCTATTCTGAGCCAAGTTATCACTAACCCTTTTTGTAGTTTTGACAAATTGTGTGCATTGTGGTAACCAGGGCACTGGTATATTCGAGACTTAGCCTCGCTTTCTCATTTTTAAATTAAATTTTTAAATGGCGAACCGTTCTAATCTAGTTAAAATCTCGCGTATCTGATGACATCGAGAGTTGATTATGGTCTTGTTTTGTTAATGAATGCCTTAATTAATAATTTACATAACATTTAAGGTCCAAAGAAAGACCTGCAATAGGCATATTTTGCTCTTACATAATGGATGTTTAAGTAATTATCTCAAATCATTAGAATTTGTTTCAATTGTTTGTCTCATGACCTTAAGCAATTTATTTTAACTTTGGCCTCTAGCTAGAGGTCCACAAGAGTTTTCAAAGTGATCAAGGGCCATAACTATGGCAATAATTATCGGAAATAGTTGAAAATCAATAGGGTTCTTCGTCTCATGACATTAAACACTGTGTATTTAAAGTCAATCGGATATTAACTTTAGCCTCTAGAGCGCCTAAAAGATTTTTCAAAGTGATCAAGGGACATAACTCTGGCAGGAAATTGCTGAAAATAAATAGGCTTCTTCGTCTCATGATTTTAAACACTATGTATAAATGTAAAGTCAATTGGATATTAACTTTAGCCTCTAGAGCGTCCACAATTGTGGACACCGGACCGACGGACAGGCGGATAGAGGCGACGACAATATACGATCATATTTCAATATGGGCGTATAAAAATGAACACGTGTTAGTAAATGACTAGAATGTTTAATGTAAAAGATATACTCGGCATTAATCTTTTGACTTCTGATTTTTACGTCACCAAAACTACGAAATTAAAATTATTAGGTTAATTAAATACAGGAAGAGACTGGGTGTTGGTGTATGACTGTAGGCTGATATATCTCTTTTCTTTTTACTTATTCACCCTAATATTTAATACAAATCCTGCAGATATATCATACCATTTCGTATTAAATATAAACCAAACAACAAAATCATGATTATAAATATATAATTCTATAGTAATCAGGATACTACCGGCTATTAATTTAATATAGTAATCTAATTAAGTGAAACACTTTTTAGAAGGGACGGGGAGGGGGTAAGGTTCAAGTATTGCTGTCAGCATTTGCGTCAATTAAAACATATTTCTTATCATATGATCGCCTTAGAGAATGTCCCACATTTTGGCGTCAATTAAAACATATTTCTGATCATATGATCGTCAGAGAGAATGTCCCACACATGATATACGTTTTAAGTCCACGCACACATATCTTTCAAAAAATCAACAATTTCTCTTGATCATCATAATATACACTACTATTTCTGGAAAGATTTAAATCAAATGAATTGCCCACTCTATGAACTCAGTCCTGTAGGTTAGTCTGAAAGTTAGTCCACATATGGTTCTGCCATTCTAATCGCAAAAAAAAAAAAAAAAAAAAAAAAAAAGAAAATAAAAAAGACCCTAATAGGAAGACTATTGAAATCCGTTTTCTTCCTTACGAGCATCCACATCTAGTGACGTCATAGAACTGGTTACGTGGGCATGCTAAGATTTGTCTAAGAGAGCCAAATCCAGGAATCATTCGTACTTCTTCATAATGAGTGGCATTTAGTATGATACTTTGACAACCTGTAATAATCAAGAAGCCATATTCATTTTCTGCTGATGGAATACAAATCTTAATTATTAGATTAGCTTTATCTGGTATGAAATTAACGCAAGATTTCTGGCTTCTGTCGGATTCGATCAAATGGTATGGTTCTATTTCCTGTAATGTAATGACCTGCTGGCGTTTTTCGCATTTCATATTTTCCATCAGAGGAAACGTAATATATTGTTTCGATTTTCATTTGACAATTATTTGAACATAAAGGCTGAAAAAGAATAGCAGTGATTTTCAAAATGTCTGTGACGTTTGTCTTGGTGGCTGAGCGATGGGAGGAGATTTTTTTCTCAGTTCCAGAAGACCGGACAGCTATCTCCCCGAGCTTGTCGCAGCGTTGGCAGTCATAAGATAAAGACACGTTACTAATGATTTACAGAACTGAAGAATAGAAGTCTCACTAACCTGCAACTTGTTTTACCAAATTGCCAGAGATTAAACTCAGTGGTTCTTCTGTTTGTGATATGATTACCATCGAGGACATGTCTATCTCAAGAGCTGAAATAAACATAAGGTTGTCAGATAAAGAAGATACGTCCACCAACGGCTTTCTATGACAAGAGCAATAAACCCGCAGAAAATTGATGCGAGACTCTGAATATCCACAGGGTTCCTTTTTTATCTCAGCAAGTTTGTTTAAAAGAACAATCTAAAAAACTCGGACCCAGAGTTTACAGGGGTCGGTGACAAGGTCAAAAACATTTTTTTTTATCACCAACCGAACAGTCCAAACAACTTGGAAAAAATAATCTAATCAATGCTGACCCGTAGAGTGTTTACATGGTATAAGTGGCAAGGAAATAACTCCGGGTAAAATATATTTTTATATGTGCAACCCTGAATTTCGACAGGATTGGGGGAGTTGGATGGCCGAATGGTTAGCACGTGCGTGCTGTATCATACGACCTGTCATTGAGTCAACTGGCGTGGTTTCGAATCCCCGGTTGTACGTGACAAGGAGTAGGGTCGCCTGTCCAACCTTGTGGGTTTTCTCCGGGTCCTCCGGATTCCTCCCACTGCTAAAGACTCCTACCATCAAGCGAATTATTGAAATAAAATTAAACCACATGTTTGTCCCGAAATGACCTACTTTGTGTCGAGTGGGCGTTAACCCCCCCCCCTCTCTCTCTCTCTCTCTCTCTCTCTCGACAGGGTTACTCCTTATGACCAGCTAAACAATCCAAACAAGTTTGGACAAAACAAGTCTAAAAAAACCTCGGACCTGTAGATTTGCTATGGGACCGACGATTTGATCAGGTAAACTTTGTAAAGGAAAGCGATATATAAAGATTAAGGAAGGGGGCCCCGTGTCAAACACAACGCAAGAGATTACAGTGTAATTTTCGAAATGGACAGTGCAAAAATACTTCTAGTGTTGGTTGACTCGGAAATGTAAGTCCAAGCGAATCGATGTACCATTTTTTTCAGGAGTGGGGGTGGGGGTTCAGCAATATCTAAAACAAAATAAACGACATAGGAACATTAGAATGTCAGTATATTGCAATACACTCTGGTATTGGGTTTGATTTTTGTCTCAGAAAAGAGGCACTTAAAGTCTAACAAGGCGGTTAGACCATGTGACCGAAATGGACAGACATGGGTGACTACAATATATTCAGATTGTAGGTCAGACATATTCGTCACTAATTTTACAGAGACTCATAGTTCAATTGTGAATTAAGAGAATACTGAATTATAAAATATAGGTAAGAAATGCACTTTGCTGTAAATTTCATTCTTTAAAATGATTCCATCAGACGATATTGTTTTGTCCAGACAAAACCAGATATTAATTACTGAAAATTATTACTGAAATCACTAGGGAAAGCACGAGAAAAAACAACTATCAATTGAATTATTTTCCGTAACCTGTTACTTACGCTGACACGATCCTTTAGAGAAAATGGATGACAAACTTCGCAACATGCTCATATCTCGGATATTGAAATATTTACTACTATCTGAAGCCATGTTCTCCAAGTCTGTAGAAATATCAATTTGCTTGATACCAATGCCAATTGTTACTATGGTAATATTGTTCAATTTCAGTTCTGCTGCGTTTCTGGCATGATCAGTAGAAGCCCAACCAGTACCATCTGTTACCAATATCAGCATCTTTGAAACGTTATTTCTGTAACTTCTCTGAAAGATATCTTTTGAAACTTGAAGACACAGTTTGTTGGAATACGATATTGTCTGCTCGTGTCTTAACCGAGATTTATCCAAAAGACCGTTTGAGATGGTTTTAATGGAGGTCATAACTTGAACAAATCTGGACATTAACGGGATGAAGGCCACCGAAGAGTTGTTACAGACACTAACACCGGTCTGTATCGTGTACGGTGGTAGCGGTTGTCTGGCAAGATCACCAATAATTCTTTCAGCAAAGTCGAGGTAACTTTCAGATCCCACCGTAAACAGTAAATCCAAGGAAGGATTACAGCCAGCTAAAAGTAAACAATAAACACGGGTGAAAGATGTCGTTAGTCTAACAACAGCTCCGTCGTGTCATCTTCATCATGGTATCTAGTATAGAGGCAACTAAACTCACCCAATCCGCATCAAGATAACAACAACAGTGTCTTTACCATGTTGGGGGTGTAGAGGCACTCCGCAATAAACATAAACATTGAGTTATGCTACCTGTATTAAGATTCCATACAAGGTATGCGAGACTAAATAATAATCCGTGGATAACCAGGGGATTGAAGATGCTTAAAGCTTCCTACATTGTCAACACATTAAAATAAAAAAGAAATTGGAAAATGGGGTTTGTAATACCACTTTGGTGTACCAATCGGGCTAATGAAGACGGGTTCAGAAAAGTAGAAAATTTGTTGAAACTCTTTGATTTTTTAGGATGTCGCTTTCTAAGTGCATGCGTCAAAGTTGGTTTAACTGTTATTGTGCTGCCCCTCCCCGCCCTTTATATATTCCACAGTTATTAATTTTCTGGGGACACTAAAATCATGGGACTTCCCGGCAACTTTCCAGTGCACCTATCAGCAATGAAGACCCTGTTGAAACTTCCCCATTGTCCAAATGGACTTTAGGGCAGTGATTTTAATTTATTTCTTTTTAATTCAGAAGCCTATTTATCGAAGCTTAAATAGTAGCTCTTGTGAGCAAAATTTTGAAAGAATGGATATTGTCGAGCGATCATGTCGATTTTCGAAGACCTTTGAATATTATGGTATCGCTTTTAGATATAAAGGTTAATATAAAAATTTAGAGACACATGACGTGTCAAATACAAGAAATTAAATTCAGAACTCTGATGATATTCAACTTAACATTAAAATAATAATGGTCATGTCATATTACCCAAAAATGGGAATTTCATTTTACTTATTTTAATAAAATGCTAAATCCCATTTAAATATAGAATGCCAAGATAACAATTGTTAAAGTTATTACCAGCTTTAATTCAATTAATGCTAGCTTTAATTCATTCGTTTCTGGCTTACATCCAATTATTTCTAGCTTTAATTCAATTATTGCTAGCCTTAATTCAGTTGTTGCTAGTTTTAATTCAAGTGTTGCTAGCATTAATTCAAGTGTTGCTAGCATTAATTCAATTGCTTTAATTCCATTCCATTTATCCAGTTGTTGCTAACATTAATTCAATTGTTCTAGAATTAATTTACTTGTTTCTATCACTAATTCAATTATTACTGGCATTATTTCAGTTATTCTTAGGATTAGTTTGGTTCTTAGCATTATTTCAGTTATTCTTAGCAATAATTCGCATTATTGTTTAGGTAGCCTATAAATGTTAATTTGATGACACCGTCGGGTCAACAGCGACCCCCCGCCCCCCCCCCCCCCGACCCCGACAGGTTACATCGATACGCCGGAGCACGTCTTGAACTGCATCACTTTGAATCCAGGAAGATTTTTGATGTCGACGATGACAGTATTATTTATTATGAATTTATCTGGATATATAGTTGGTCTATTGTCATCATGGCGCCATATTTTGATGAAGTGGATATGATTTAATTTATCAAACAAATATGCCGTCATTAAGATTTCAATCATAACTTTATCTGAGATCATCAAATATATTTGATATAATGCATATACACTAAACCCCTAATGGTATGTGATTAATTTACCTGGCGAGGCTGCCAAGAGATTAGTCAATGATGATACAATAAAGATGAGTAACCATTTCATTCTGTCGACAATTCCGCTTGAAATACCAGTCCAGCCAGATGTCGATTAGCTTATTCCTGAAATTTATTAAAAAAAACAATCTATGGAAAAAAGAAAAGAAAAAAAACAGCTAGAAGATATATTTGATGTAAAATGTGCACGTGTGGAAACTAACGGTATTCTTGGTTTATTTTCTTCGTGAGGTTGCATTGAGAGATCTGTTACGAAATATGTTTTTACATTAAACTATAAGTCAACTGAAACTGTATATAATTTTGAAATGTCTATTTCTATATCAAAAGTTATGTATCATTTTGACACATAGTAATAATTTAAAACATCTTAAAATGTTCTTTATATTGCCCCCAAAATTTTGACAGTTTCTGTATAAGTTATTTTTGATCTTACCTTTATCTTCTGCGTTTCAATATTATGTCAGTTGTTGGTACGCGAAATTTTCTTTATATTTGTTTTTGCTAGGTTTATTTCCGAGTGTGGTAAATTGCAGTAAAACCAAATATTCAGGGCACATATTTTGTAATAAATGTCGTGTTTTAGACAATCCAGAAGTTAAATCTTGTGACAAGAGATCAGTGTCTTGTCATGGCCATTTTCGTCAAATTATATGACATTTTATCATTACTTCGTGAGTGAGATAATGGTGACGTAGTAATGCTTTCGGGGTTTAATTTTTTTTGTTTTTTTTGTTTTTTTTTTTTGGGGGGGGGGGGGTCATTATCTTCAAAAAGCTCTCATAAGATCACTCGCGCCTGATAATTATATTAGCCTACCATCACATTTTATAACATCTACTGTGAAAATTCTAAATTGATCGAAACTACTTTGAATTTGAAGACAGAAAGTCAAATAATAATTATAATTAGCAGTTCAAGAAAGTAAGAAAGGGGCACTAGTCCGGTGGCTGAAGGAGGGGGGGTGGGGTCCCCACCAGATCTGTGAATTTATGAGACCAAGTTTTTCTAGACCAGTTTTTAGCGTAGATTCCGAATCTGGGTGGTGATCAGTCGTTTGAGAGGGCGTTTTCGAGATATGGAGGGTCAATGTCTCAAATGGGGGGAAATGTCATTATGTTGACATGAATGATTATCACGTTATTTGTTAATAAAACATAAATTTCCAGGACTGTCCATCTCAAAAGAAGTGTATATGATGTCCCTGGACAACGGTTTTGATTTGTGGGGAGGTGGGGTGGGGGTAGCAGGTGAGCGGGCGGTAAAATTGGCGGGAAATGGGTTCACGTTGATTTAAATGATGATTTTCTTAGAGCTTGGCAAAATATTACTTTTTAATTCCGCTGCACAACTCTAAATACGTGTGTAAGATTCCCAATGTATAAGGGGGGGGGGGTAATTTTGGGGGCAGAAACCACTTGTTTCAAAATTGACCTGAAAAGTGTTTTCTCGTTAGCTTTTTCGTTCAATCTGATTAAAACACAGATGCTATTTCGTTTCGATTTTTAGTTCAAAACTGGTCTAGAAAAACTTGGGTCTCATAAAATCAAAGCTCGGGTGGCGATTCCCCCCCCCCCCTTCATCCACCGGACTCATATACTGCTTCAGTGTGTTGGCATTCACAACCCCAAACTTACTTCATGTTTTGCTTTCAAAACGGAGTTGGCACAACATGTATTTCCCTCTATTCCTTGCTAATTACCACAGTCCTTTGAATGTATAGTTATGTTCTAAACATACTTTATATTTTGGGGGTTTTCCCTTCGATATATGGGCACTTCATAAATGTCAGTAAATATTGTTACTGTATAGTTGTTAGTTTTATAGTGTAGGAGGATGTCTTGAAATTAGAACGCATGTGCTAAAATAATAAACTCATTATTCTATATACACTTCTATAATACACTGTATAGAATAAATGTTTCACTTTAAAGTGAACTGTCAGATATTAACCGCTTGTCAAACTGGCGAAAATTACTTTAGATTGTGCTCAATTTGACAATCCATGGTTTTTCCAGTGTAACAGTTGAATGTATGCGACTTTTCCATACAGCTATATCCTACAAGACAGATACCAGAAGGTGAATGAAGAAGTAATGCATAGATTGAGCGGCAGTCTTCGGTCGGCAGTTTTCAGACAACGTTCAATAGAACAGATAATTGTTTAACAGACATGCAAATTTTCCGATCAAATAATTCCTTGCTATGCTGTTGATAAGTTAAAAGAATACTACTGTTTCAAAATTAAAAATATATTTGTACAAAATAATACATTTCACAATATGCATTCATTTCTTAAAGTCCCTGGTCGTCATTTGAGTGTTTGTTAATCCTTTGCATACTACACTGTTCTGAAGGTAGAATCTCAGTTCAGTTCATATAAGGCATATCAATTCAAAAATTGTTCCATTCTGTTCAATATTTACAACCATATGATCAACTGAAAATTTGTGGACATTCGGCTATCTATTTTCCCTGGGCCTCCTTTAAATCAGATTGAATCCAAGTCAGATCATCTACTGTTGATATTTTGATTGTGTTCTCTTTCTTAAATGTTAAATAATCAATCTGAATACATTTTCATGTGGATTAAGCGGTGAAAAATAAGATATAGTCCAGAAAACGCAAATGACGATCAGCAACTTTAACAGTCTTGTCAAATAATCAAAAATGACAACGTTAGACACAATATAGACAGATTTGTACAACCAAAATACATTATGTATAAACACAGTATAGATCTGACACAATGGTCAAAAATCAAAATGTATTTTTTCTATTATAAAATATATTGCCAGGCAACAAAACAGCTTTTTCAATTAAGCAAGTGAAATAATACTTCAAGTAATTATCAGAAATATTGGACATAAACGCAGTGTATAAATCTAAAGTCAATCTGAAAATATGACCACGTTTTAATGCAGAATTGTAAAAACTGTTACAATATAGGTTTATAGATATAAAATGTATGAAACAAGTCTAGTAATAGCTTATTCCTTCTCTTTCTTTCTTAACAATTCAATCCACTTTACAAAACTGATTTATCTATTTCATCAATAGTTAAATTTAAAAAGCATAAGAAACTCAACAACTAAATAAACTATAACTTATTGCACAGAAAGTGTTCTTTCATTTGGAAACTTGATCAAATGAGTACATTATTAACTTGGGAGTGGGGGTAAGTTTGCTGATTCTGGATATGTAAACAATTCTTTCTGGTTAAGATTTAAAATTATTATCTGGAGTTGAAGAAAGTTTGTTAATGTTATTTTCATTTGAACTTAAAATAAAACTGTTAAAAACAGTTGCCAGGGGTATATGGGGAAAAAAAGTTGGGAACCTTTGACTATATATCAAATAGGACAAAAGTTATCAACAAGCTAATTCTTATAATAATCATTCAATAGTAAAAATTTGGTCTTTTTTGTGGTAGGCCTATTAGAAAGATTTCTGAAACAAAATTTAAATTCAAACTGAAAACTTGTAAATTAGAGAGTTGTAACCAATGTTTTTTTTATCACCACATCCTTATATAAATCCACTAATAGTTGATGATGGCTTGGTAAAATTCATGTCATGCCACTGTCTGATGTTAGGCAATGTTAACACATACCATCAATAAGAAACATCTACAGTTACTAGTTAGTGAATGAATATATTTAAACATAAGTAACTCTTGACATTGATAGACTAGATGAGTATATTCAGTAATGATTTGTTATATAATAGGTATATGTGATGATTTGTTTGTAAGCTGATATGATTAGTTTGACAATTACACAAAATTATCTAATTCAAACAAACAGAGTGAATTTAATACAAATTATAAGAGAATCAACTATGTCATTACAGAATACATGTACAATATATTTTATTTCAATTATTCACTTGCCAACCACTTTAGCATTGGGATGAACACTTTAGAATAATCAACAAACCAGCTTACACATAAATTTAAAGATATTACAAAAAGTTTAAACGTTAGTACTTTATCTAATATTTATTGAAAGAAAAAGTAAATTAAACACATATCTAAATCAAAGAAACAATAACCAATAATATTCAAAGAAATGCAAATGGCCCTGGATAATAATAATATATTTTATACAATCAGCTCTTGCTTCATCTGAAAACCTAATATTGCTCTGGCCATATAAGAAATATTCTACTATTTTTAATGAATAGATTGTTTAATGAATAGAAAGAGTATTATACTGGACTAGATTGATTAAGACTAAATTAACTAGTTAAAATAACAGTTTTAGAGGCCACCTTACTGAGACACTATTACTTTGCAGATTGTAACAGACAATCCATTTCTATCATAAATATGTTTTAGTTGTAATCAAACTTTGATTAACATCAAATCACATACTTAAAATGTTAGTAAACTAAAAATAGAATATAACTGATCTCAATGATGTAATAAACTAAATTGATTGATTATGTTAAAACTCATTAACAAAAACTAATAAACATTTCTTTAATAAATAACGATGTGTGATATATTTAAAACTGTAAATCAAACCATAGTTAAATATAGAACTAGGTTAATCAAAACCTGCAAATATAATTATATTCAGAATTTATTCTTTATGTATAGAAACGTGATGGAGTACTTGTCATATAATATAATGTAGAGCTACATAATATAGAACTATATGATTAAAATATATGCACCACATGAGGTTCATTATCTTTGATCTTAAGCTCATTATATTTTCTCATTTGTCATGGAAGAATATAAATAGTAATCACTGGTTTCTAAATTGCTCTTTTAAAGGTCAACAAGGATAAATAAAATGTACTCAAATTAATGACGATATAAGTCATAAAACATGCACCATTTCAACAAGCTAAAACAATGTTGATCCAAGTTCTGTAAAAATAACACAACCTCTTTTTAATAGTGTCAACAACAGCTTCACAGCTTCATAGCACCTTCAACTCTCACAGCATTAACATTTAACTGAAAATCTATTAGCTCTTCACTTTATTCTCAAAATAGTTTTTAACTTTAGTTAAATGTATCCTTAAAGAGCCTCAGGTGCTTCTGATGGAATGGCATACCTCGGTCCATTTAGCTGTAAAAAAAAAAACAAATACAAATAAAATTCCATATCTCCTAAACTCTTTGATTAAAAGAGTGATTACTAGAAATTGAACTGACGGACAAACAGGAGAGACAACAATGACAGATCACAGTAACATGCGAGCATATCAAAATATTCTCATTTTAATAATACAATATGACTGGAAGAATACATATAGCTATCTATATATGGTTTTATCTGCACCTTCCATCTTTCCAGTTTCAGATTCAAGAGTACCAAAACTCTGAATATTAGATGAAGGGAGAGAACTCCATAATTACACTAAAAAAAAACCCTCATGTTGGCTGTTTTCATATGCTAACAAAATACCGAGTTAAGACCTGCTTTTGTAAGTACTAAGTGTTTGGTTTCACTTCATTTAACATAAAATAAACCCTAGAAAGAAGAATTTCCAACATTAAAGAATCTGGAAAAAATATTAAGAAAAGGAGATTACCCGTGTGTCATAGTCTAGAACAAATGTAGGAACATCCAGTTGATCTGGTGTTATAGAACTATACAAATACTGAACACCTTTGATAATATGTAATTTATCTTTAATATCAGATGCTGTAAAGGTAGTGAAGAACCAAGTAGCTACCTAAAAATACAAATATAAATTATCAAATAAATATCCCAAATACTTTTCAAACATTTGACAAGATAAAAAATACAAATCCCAAAGACCTATCACATCAGGCATATTGATTAACTGTGTACAAATTAGATATGCTCATGAATTTGACCACCAAACGTTTCCGGCGATAATATTCTATATGGAAACCAACTAAAATATAAACAAGATATGTGTTGTCTCTTATCAATGGTCTGTCTTCATTAGTCCAGTTGGTTTTGTAATGTATGAATCATAGTTCAATTTCCTAAGTAAAAAATATTAACAAACCTTTGTCCACCATGTTGGATGAACTATATAAAATGACCGCAAATGTTTTCTATACCTGTCAAGTACAAAAAATAAGATACATAATGGTTTTATACAAAACAGAAGATATTTCTTAATATAAAGCGTTAACAATTTGTAAATGGAAGCACTGTCACCTGATGTGATACATTTGTGGTAAATATATGTATGCTTATTTTTTGGAAAGGGACAAAAGTCACATGACGTTACAAAGTCACATACATGAAAATGACAAGAAGTATGATAATTTTTAAGGATATTTTGGCAATATCAGTTGAAAAAAAATCTAGTAAAAGCCCATTAGAAATCATTTAATATGAATGTCTTTATTAAAATGGTTTGAAAGATGAACAGGTTGAGACGATCTACAAATTACTTACTTGTAATCAAGTACATTATACGCCATTTTTAGATATGCCATGGGTATATAGTTTTGATTGGTTGTTAATGTATGATAATAAACTACTATAAAATCAGAATCAGCTATTGGATCCATTACTCGAATCAGATATAATAAAGCCTGAAATATAATATTAATACAAGTTAAGCTTTATTGTTTATACATGTAATACCTATTTTAGAACATAAAAGTAAAATGTCCGCTGTGTTGACATGAACTACACTTTCTTTATTTTCAGTCATCTGATAATTGGATGTAAACAAGTGAATCAATTGCTTGATTTGTGGGCACTACCACATAGTTTTCTTGGCCTATCTCCTATATTGTGGTACCAACAGTTGTGAATGTTACATCTGGAGAACAGTTCACACAAATTGTGGCATTATAACATTGAGCCAGAAATCAGGATGCCTGTATTCTAAGTGCTGAGTAGTTCACATCGCTATCAAATTTAAGTTGTACTTTTGTATTTAAACTACTAGGCTGGTGATTCCAGGACCTTTGATTATCTTCTACCAAGTCAATCCTGTTTTTGAAGTCCAGGTCCAAAGCAGTGCTCCCGTTAGGTTTATTGGCTATGTGTTCCATCTTTCATTACATTATGACTTTATTATTATATCAAAAGGCATGACCAAATATTTTCCATGTATCTTATTGTTGAGAATAATTTTCACAGATTGATGAGCTTTGTAAATATGAAAAAGAACGTAATGATATACATACTTTTTCTAAGTTAATTGAGGTAGCTGGGAAATTCTTGCCAACAAATACAACGACTGGTCGATTAAATCTATCACTTCCTGCTCTATACAGAAATCTTGTACCAGCTATATCTGTTAAGTCGTCTGTTTTGGCTCTCTTTAATAATCTTTCATATCTAGATAATTATCAAATATAAATATTGACATTGCTAACAAACAAATATTATCAAAGGTAGTGTTCTTGTTTCTAGTTGCAGTTACTTCCTTTGGTCATCCCGTCTTCATTACCTCAGTAGGTGCAAAAAAGAACCATTTGTATTTTACTGACGAATCAAGTAGTGATTTTAATGATCGAACACAAAGAAAGGTTTCTACATACAGGCGAAACACAAAAGCACTGAAACACATTTCAATCTATTTTGCCAATAGTTTTCTTTTAAAATTCTATCTAGATTGCTTATATAATTACCATTCTCAAGGGAAGACTTTCCGATCCTCTGTTCAGCTGATCATACACAGAGGATGTGTTGACCATACACAGTAGATCAGACATGTAGAATATGGCTGTACTCATCAAGTAATATACATTTCCTACTTTTTCTGAAATGAAATGGTGTTTTAACATCCTACTTTTTCTGCACCAACCGGGCTAATACAGAAGGGTATACACCTTGTAATGTACTATGAAGGCAACTTTATTCCAACTGCCAAAGGGTTCTTTTACATGCACGCCAAACTCAACACAGGACCTCGGTTTTTTGGTCCATCTAAACAGCTAGAGGCTTTTCCTTGCCAAGTCCTTACAAAGATAAACCAGGCTGGAAAATCCTGGGGTACTTTCTCGTCCAACACCAGTAACGAACCCAGGATCTCCTGTTTAGTGAGCCAGCGCCTCACTCACTGAACCACTGTGGCTCCACTTTTCATTAGAATACTTCAAGGAGATATGCTACAACAATCAGATAAATGGGATGGGTCTAAAAAAAATGTGTGTATTAGTCTCACCTTCGTTGTGATTCAATTCTTCGTACATCAGCATTATTTTTACCATATATGGTACCCTTTTTTGTTTTATCAGGATCTTCCTCCATACTAGCAAATGGATGGTGGCCCACATCTAACGCGGTAGATGTACAGAACTGACTGTTTAAATCAATAGTTTCTTCAAAATCATCTTGTCCTACATGTACTGCCTCTATAATAGTAAATGAAGACCATTTCATTAATAAAATATAGGATACACATGTATATGAGTTTATGCCCGAAGATTTGGTGCTTGATAAGAAAAAGAAGGTTCTCAATATTAGAAGAAAGGTATACAGATTTTTACTCTGATGTCCTATGCCTAAATTGTAAAAGATATGACCTTACTATTTATAAAACTTTATTAGCATAAATTTTGCAATCTACCTTTCGTTCATCAATTTAAAATGGCTAAACCTCTATGATTTGGGGCAATAATAAAATTGTTGATTTCGTTGGATTTTATTTCTTGATTTGTTCTGTGGGATGACAATCTGCTTTCGTTAACATTTTTTTTCCCATGATTAGATAAAGGAAGCATTGAAATACAAATGATTAGTAATCCAAAATCTAAACTGAAATTAGTAAACTCCTACTGTAGCTCAATCTTTTGAAACAAAACTGTAATTGTATAGAGATTGTCCCAGTTTATTTTGACCTAAATCAAATAGCTTAACATCTTTTAAATAACTTAAATATATCTTACTATATGCAGCAAACGCTGGTTTATCAAGTATTCTAATTTGTCTTTCTGCTACAACTGGTTCTCCATTTTCATTCCCAACATCCTCTGGTAAATTATCTAGAGCATATTCCTCTTCTTTAGAATTTCGAGGAAAATAGAGTGGAAGAATATTTTTATAAGCATCCTGAAATAAAATATGAGGTGGTAAATAGTGTTGGGTATTATGACTATATGACTATATGATCAACCCTCTCATGAGAGATGCCACAACACTGGCAATATGTCAAATGGTCAATCGTCAATCAACCATCACCATGCCATGCAACCGGGTAATGTTTTCTTGAATATTTGCTGTTGATGGCCATCCGGGTCATGATACAACGTGTATCACAATATAGCTGTGGCGATAATGTTCCCTCTGACAGAAATAACCAGAAAAAGACAATGTAAATATTGTCATTGCTTGGTGTTAGTAGAAGTAGAGCTAAAGCCTGGAATATTCTGCTGACAAGAACATTGTCAAGTACTGATTCAGCCCCTTAAGAATTGATGGCCAATATTCTTGGGAGGTAGATCCCATTACATCGATATATAACTCCAGCATTAGTGGTAAATGCCTCGACTTTAACACTTCATGATCATTCACTGAATTAAAATATTTGACATCCATTATTCAGTAACTGCCTGCTAATATCTGTTTTGAAACTTGATTCTACAATTGCACTTATGAGTACAGCTTTAGCTTACATAAATCTGTCAAGAAACCCTAAAGATCTGCCTTGGTGTGCCATCTTATAGTTATGATAAAAGATCGAAATAGCAATTAATTAAACTATTGTACATACCAAATTTTCTTGATTACAAACTAAAACTATAGTATCAAAACTATCCCCAAACTTTTCTAAAAATCTCCTTATCGTACCTGGAAAATATAATGAAACAATCAAATATCATAAAATTCTAATCCGATAATTTATGTCTAGTAAATGACAAATATAAAAGCTAAACATTATAATTAAAAGACTAATCTTGTTTTGTAAGTACTAATAATTTTGTTGATAAAAAAACGGTAATATACAAGGGCTGGCTGAAAAGTTCTAAGCCTGAAAAGGATAAATCAATTGGGATGAAACAAACTTTTGCCACCAACAAGTACAATCATTGAATGAATCATAGACATAAGAACTGCAACTGTAGTGTTATTATTGTCTTCGTAGCAGACAATCTTGTAAACATACCAATTGAAATCACCAGAAATGGACAAAACTGGCTACAGGGCTGTCATCAAGTACCTGCAAATAAAATGACTAACCCCAACACAGATACATGCTGACATGGTCTCAACTTTAGGGGATGATGCCCCTTCCTTTTCCACAGTAAAGAAGTGGGCTGTGGAATTTAAGCGTGGCAGAGAGAGAGAGCCTTGACGATGATCCACGTCCTGGAAGGCCATGAATAGCCACCATTCAAGAAAACATTACACGGGTGCATGACATGGTGATTGTTGATTGACGATTGACCACTCGACATAATATTATTGCTGTGGCATCTCTTGTGAGAGGGTTGATTATATATTCGCCAAAGAGTTTGGAATGACAAAAGTTTCTGCAAGATGGGTGCCAAAGCTCTTGACTGCAGATCAGAAACATGTCAGAATCCTGATGTCCCGTTACTTTTTGGCTAGATTTGTAGCCATGGATGAGACATGTTTCCAAAAATGAAAAAGGATCTAGCCGGTCATCATTTTCCTAGTAATGATGACATCATGTCAGCTGTGAACAACCCTTTTTAGGGTGACTGAAGAAAATTTCTTTCTGACCGGCATCCAGGCTTTGCAGTATCATAGGCACAAGTGTGTACACCTCGAAGGGGATTATTTACAAAAATAAATGGGAACTATCAACTTTGTACAGATCTTTCACAGATACAGTGGATATACCTAGAACTTTTCAGCCAGCCCACGTAATAATGATGAATTTTAACTGCATGCACATCATATTTTGATACAGATATTCAAATAAACCAATAACAAAACTTGGAATATTGATCAAACATACTCCTGGACTTTGCAACTGATTATCTTACATTAATTAATATTGTTGGCTGATACTCCTGTTACTGGATTAAAACATTGCTATGGAGATGAAATTCAAGAGTCTTATACACTGCTTCAACTTATCCACAGAACTGTAAATTAAGGCGATTCAACTTTTACATCCCATATAATACAATACTCACGACAAGCTATATGAGAACCACTGTCTGGTGGATAACCTCTTTTAACTGTATGAATACATGACAGTCCTATTGTTCTTATACTCTGTTCCCTATTTTAAAAAAAAAAAATATCAGTGTGATCCAAGCATTTACAAACAACCTTGTCCATAAACTCATAAAAAGATATTTCATATACTTTTCTATTATTATCAATGTTAAATATTAAACAATGAAATGGAGCTTAACGTCCTACTTTTCTGCATCAATTTGCAAGAACAGAGGAATTTGTTAAATTCAAATTGCTAGGGTATGTTTACGTGAACCCCAATGTGTACGACAGCAGTTTTTTTCCCATCTAATGTGTACGACAGTGGTTTTTTGTCCCATCCAAATGACTAGACAACGTTTTTTGACAGGATCCCCGTCCTGCACCATTGACAAGAGACACTGAAAAATGCATAAGGACTTTATTAGTCAACACCATGATTTAACCCAGGATCTCCCAGTTAATGAACCAGCCCAGCACCTTACACACTGAGTCACTGTGGCTCCCTTTGGCTGATGAAAGAAGACTACAAAAGTATGGGGGGTATATTATGCAAGTAAGGGGGGAGGGTGTTGGGATGGCCTAGTGGTCTAGAGTCTCACGCTTCAAGCTGCAGCTGGTTGGACAACTCTGGCTTGCAGTCGTGGTTTCAACCCCTGGTGTGAGCGTATGGGTTGTATTCCGGTTTCCTACCATAGGAAAGACCCCTGCATGTACGCTAAGCATAATAAAATAAGACAATTTGTCTTTGATATTACCATTGGTGGAGGCGGATGTTAAACACTAACAGAAGAAGAAGAATTATGCAAGTACTTTATTTAAGCTAAAAGTACATATATGTACATAAACTTCAGATACATGTAATTTCATGATAATACCTATAATATGAAACAATATAAATGACATCCTATAATAATTAATACTTTTAATATGGTTGATCTCATATTAACTTCATAAAATCAATTCATTTGAACACAGACTGTTGTATATGTAGTGTTGAGAAGTAATTAATATAAAATTGGAACTATACCTGGCTAACTGTAGTGTATTACGGTAACAACTAAATAAAGCACTTTCAGCAGCAGTAAGATATTTAACATTAAATCTAGGTCCCACTGTATGTATTATAAATCTTGCTGGTAATCCATGACCTTTGGTAAGTTTTGCCTCTCCAGTTTTGATTACTAAGAATGCAGAAGAAAAAAAACTACTTTTACTAGAATCAAAAAGTTATTTTTGTTTTCAAAATATTTGATGTGTAGGTGCAAAATTGGAAGATTTCTTCTTCTAAATGAAGTATATTTTCCCGTTTTCTTTTTTATATCTTAATTGAGTGAGAGGGAGTAATAGGGTTCAATCTCCACTAGACATAAACTAGGTCATTTCAATAATTTGCTTGCATGTATGGGTCTTTAGCAGTGGGACGAAATCAGAGGACCCGGCAAAAAACCCTACTCCTTGTCACATAAAAGCTTTGGACCAAAACCAAGCCACTTGCCTTAAAATAGTTAAAAAACAGACCTTATAATCTAAAGCACACATGTTCACCATTTGACCAATGCTTATTATATTAACTGTTAATGAACTGTATTTTAATTGATGAACATTGTATTGACATTGATGAAAACTGTGTTGATACAATGTATGAACTATAAATAATTGATTAGATTGTCTATTGGATTAAATCTTCTGCTGAATCATGATTAGAATTTGAAGGTCAATTCACCTTTTATATCAGCTCTAATTTCTTTATAAAGTTCAGGACCAGCCTTTAAGAATAAATTATCACTGTCAGTACCTCTGTCATTGAGTTTTTCGTTTGTTGTATGAACTACGGCATGGGTATTTAATCTAGTTAGATCACCACTCCTGAAAAATGGGTTCACTTTGATTTGTTTTCTTTTAAAACATGTAAAAATCAAAATTTAACAAAAAATTGTATCTTCATTGCATTTGTAATTGAACAATGTTTTTTTTTTTTGTTTATGGAATATAAATAACATTGATGGACATACAGTTTATTCTATACAAATTGTTTTTTTCACTTTGGAAAATCTTTGGAACAACAGACTTACTAACCATGTTCAATATATTACTTTGACCTAAACCAAAATTTTTTTTATAGTTTCTATAAATAATGTTAAACAGAAACCACTTCCTCATCAACCTAATGATAAAACATCTGGCTAAAACAAGCCTACAAATTATTTACTTCAACATACCAAAGACAAATTTTTCCATTTAAATCATTCCTCCATGGAAACACTGACTTCTTGTCTTCGTCTTCCTTTTCTCTAGGTACATATTCTGGTAGTTGAGTTAAGTTCCATCGAGTCAAAGAATCAATATCAATTAAGTCATCCCTTGCTCCAAGTGGATCCATTACTTATCATTTACATGTATCTTTAGTAATTTTGCACAATTTGTCTTTAAGATGTACTTACAATTACTACAGTAAAAGTTACCAGTGAAATAAACTCTTGTTTAATTTTGTCTGATACATTAAGCAAGTCTGAAAGAAATGTTAAATTAATGTCAATATTCAAATGTTGAATAGATAATTACATACATGTTTTGTTTACGTTAACTACCTAATCGTTTTTGTAAATGTCAATCGTCACCATGTGAAACATACTATTCATAATTCTTTGAACTGATATAGTTTAGCAAATAGCCTTTTAATTTTAACAGCACCACCATTCTACCATCCTATTCATTCATCTGTCCACAAGAAGACCCTATGACTTAGAAGTAACTTTATCTTGATGCCACAAATGGTACATGGGCAATTCCGAGACAGAAAATCGATGTACACGAACTATACATGTACTTTATAGATGCAGTATGCAAGGTTAGGATAAAGAGCTGATCATTCTTGCTAATAATAGACAATGTAAAATGAATATACTGAATATTTCAGCCCTATTACTTTATTATGAGTGACGTTATGAATCTTTGAAGTTTGACAAGAAATAGCCTAAAAAGTCTTGATTATCATACCAAACGCAGTCTCATAATTTTCAGTCCTTCAATTGGCAGTCTCCATGAAAGGCGTCCATATCATTGTTTAATGAAGTTATGGCATATTGTCTATTCCACTCAATATCTTAACCATCCTATGGTCTAGGACTCTAGGGAGTTGATTATTGGCAAGTTTTCATCTGAATAAATGTCTAAATAACAATTTTTATAACATTTGAAGCCAGAAAAAAGACCTGTGATAGGCAGATTTAACTCTTACATCATGCATCTTTAAATTTGTCAGAGAGCATGTACATGTATATACTCAATGAGGCAATTATTTTAATGGCATTTAGTAATTAAACTGGAATATACAGGTCACAGCTCTATGGAATACAATTACTGCTTATTACTGAGCAGTGTTTCAACTAGGCCTCTCTAAGCATTATCAAGCAATGATAAAATATGAAATACATGTATTCGGTAAGTTAATTGATGTCTAATGAATAATTTAGATAACATTTCAGGCCTAAAGAAAGACAGGAAGTGCAATAGGCGGATTTAGCTCTTGCAATGCATGTTCAGGTTTCTTCAAGGTAATTAGAAGGGTACGTGTCTCAGGTTGGTCAGCATTAACCAAGTTGTGTTGTTTACATGTATATTGTCTTGTTATATTTCATATTTTATCATTGCTTGATAATGACTAGAGAAGCCTAGTCGAAATGTCGCTCAGTAATTTTCAAATTTGGGGAACCTTTTTTGTTTCTAGAGAGAGTATGAATAAAGTACAAAGTGGAGCGGAAATTTCAGTGGAAATGGATTTTTAAAAGTAATTTTGCACTGATGTCATCGTGACCAGATGTTTTTGATATATTCAAACTTTTGATGACATCTTTAACTTCTTGATGGGTTGGTACGATCTGTGTTAGTGAGTTCGGATTTTGTCTGATAGAGGGAAAAGCGGTGTTGATGTCGTTTAATTCGGATTGTTCAATGAAGAAATTACTGGGTGCATTTAAGTCTTATCTTCTGGTGTAAAAAGCATGTCTTTGTTCACAACTAAGGGTGGCATATCTGTCTTGATTGTCCCTTGGCCTTTCACAAATGACTTAATAATTTTCCAAAATGTGTTATTTCCAAAATTTTCTGAATCATTAATTTTGTTGTCAAGTTTTTCATAGTATTTCATTTTTGCAGTTCAGATAAGATTAATATATTTGTTGCGGATAGATCTGAAATGTTGCCAATACATGTCATGATTATGGTCGCACGGGAACTTTTTATTGTTCTTCTGAACTTCTCACTGTCCAACTTGAACAAGATCTCAAAATATTTATTCACTTGTTATTATTGTTATAAAAGTCAAACATGACAATTGGGAATGTAAAATTTCTCAAAACTGAAAAACGTTATTAAAGTAGTGATCTACCATCACCATTTAACATGGCGGTTTCGTAATAGGGGGCTATACCAATTATTATAAACAAATTTCTCACCTGAACAAGAAAATTCATATAGCAACACACGCCATTTTGGTAAATCATGTGACTCGATATCGTCAACCTATACTACCCTTTTCGGAAATGGACTAATCGAGGTTCCCCGAATGTAAGCTCTCTGGTTTAAAATCTTATTTGGGCTTCTGATAAAATAAAATATATTCAAATAAAAATATAAAGGGATCATTATATTACGGTACATTAAAATAAAGGGAACACGGTAACTATTTGTCTGCCAACTTACTACCCTTAAAGGAAAAATGGTATCAGCCGATTTTCCTCTGGTAGTAGGCTCCCCTTGTTTTTGTGGTGGCGCTGTACCAAGTATTTCTTGTCGAAGCTGATTCTTGACAACGAACGTAATATAATACAAATAGATCTACATGAAATTCTCATTATACATCCGACTGCGAAGATCAACATGGCTAAAGTAATATCACAGGAAACGTTTGACGATGTCGTTAAAGAAAATATGGAGGACTTTGACATGGGTGTCGATGAAGCTATCGCTGATGCTGTTACTCAATTCGAATCACAAGGCGTGAATCTTCTCAACATTATCAAAGATCCCGGTATGTTTACAAATGGTACTGGGCAAACAAACCACGCTGTTATTCAAGCCCTGGAAAAGGTCAAAACTTGTGTAGAAACAAATTTAGCTGAAAATCTTCTGGACTCCTTGGCTATTTTGCAGACTGAATGTGATGAGGATTTAGCAAGAAGATGTCTTGCAGGAAAAAATGATGGATATAAAATTTTGATGAAAGCGTTAAATGTTTTTAAATCGGATAGCGCTTTAATGGAGATTATTCTTACAACATTTTGTTCACTTGTTAACGGTCAACCAGATCTGCTTGATGAAGAAGGAGTGACATTTCTCTTAAATTATCTCACAGAATGTAGTCCCAGAGAGAAACCACTCGTTGTTAAGCTAATAAGACTATTCTGCATCAAACATGAAAAAAATCGTCAAATTTTTGTACTGAACAATGTCATTGGAACATTGTCTGTACTTTTAGCTAACCATAAAACAGAACCAGAGCTAGTTCAAGAAATATGCATTTGTTTAAGAGTTTTAACCTTTGATGATGATGTTAGAGTACCATTTGGCAAAGCACACGAACATGCCAAGATGATAGTGACAGAAGGCGATGCTTTGAAGAGAATATTAGAGATTTGTCAAGATTATTCTGAAGATTCTACAGTACTAGGAGAAATGTGGTCAACACTCGCTTGTCTAGTTGTCCGTGATGAATTTTGTAAAGAAGTTTTAGAGATGGGGGGCCTTGCCCTTATCATAAAATCATTTGAAAAAAACATTAATGATAAAAACATTACCCGGAAATCTTTGACTGTCATGAAAGCTTTGGCTGGTAATGATAATGTGAAAATAGCAATTGTAAAATCTGGTGGAATAGAGTTAATAGTTGCTGCAATGCTTAGACATCAGTCGGTTGCTTCAATAGCAGAGGCTGCCTGTGCAACATTAATGACAGTTGCATTAAGAAACCCTTCAAACAGTCAAAAGATAATGGAGTGTAATGGACATCAAGCTATTGTTCAGTGTATGAAAATTCATTCTTCAGTTCTTGGTGTTCAAAAGCAAGGGTGTATGGCATTGAGAAACATTGTTTCTAGAACAAGGGAACATTGTGATTCTATTGTAGAGTTAGGAGTAGAGGAAGTTATAAATAAAGCTCGAAAACAGTTTAAAGATTTAGACGATGAGGCAAAAGCTGCCTTGCGGGATCTTGGTTGTAAAGTTGATCTTAAAGAACAGTGGAAAGGGGAACGTGGTTCAATAGTTCATTAGGATAATTAGTTTCTTTAGTATTTGCCCAATCTACGCTATACAAAATATTAAAATATTTGTGAACTTTTACACATCATTGTTATCATGTCTATTTATGTTGCATGCCATTGCAAATATATTGCTTAAAGGGGAATTATTCAAGAGCTAAATCTGCCTATTGCAGGTCTTTCTTTAGGCCTTAAATGTTTATATAAATAATAAATTAGACATTTATTAACATGACAAGATCATAATCAACTCTCGAAGCCATCAGATGCTCTAGATTTTCAACAGATTTATACGATTTGCGGTTAATGATTTAACTTAAAAATGGATAATCAAGAGTTTGTTTATTATCTTAACAGCGGTAGCAATGATAATCCTGACTATGCTGTTCTGTAATCAACGATTAACTCTGCTCAGAATGAAGTTATTTTACTGAAATTTTCATTCTTACTGCCTAATTTATTTTAAGATTTTATATTATGTCATCATTTGTTGGAATATCATTTGAATAATTTATAAAAATTATACATATTATACATGTATACCAGTATTTAAAATAAATTACTGATAATAATTTTACTGTCTTAATTTCTATACAACATAACATTTTGATTGTGGACATTCTATACATTACATGTACATGTAGGTCACAATTTTCATCCGATTTTGATGAAACTTGAAATATAGCTTTATATCCAATAGATCTCGCTTACTTTTGATATTGGCATGCATTGGACTGTAACTTCATGGATTATGGCCCCTGATTGTATGAAAAATGACGTTTTCGCTTGTGGACAATCTAGGGGGTCAACTTAAAGGGGAAGACGAACAATTTTCAACACGGTTTCCATAAATTTTAAATATATATTTAGAAATAATTCCCTTGGTAATACAAGCAAAAATGTTATTGTAAGCGAGAAATTAATTTTTATTAAAACCATAAGTGATGTAGTACAATGTAGGTTCAACATGCTCACTGGTCTCTATAGTAAGCATACAGATTTGGCATAAGTTTACTGCTGTATTTTGCTTTGTTTGGTCAAAAATCTGATCAGAATATTATAAACCCGGATTTGTGTTTTTTTTAACGTTTAGTACACAAAGCCGTCCGTTGAAATAAATAAAAACACTGTCAGCAGACTCAGCATACACAAAAACATTCAAGCAGATGAAATATATCTCACTAGCCTGGTGTCGAACATGTAATGTAAACATTTAGCTGTGTGGTGTGAATTGGTCCACAACTTAATGTTCAGTATGAGTGAATGTATCCGTCAGATTTGTGTATTTTAAGAACGTTAAAAAACATAATTCTATCATTATAATATCCAAATAAACAGTCCTTTTGGTCAGATTCTCATCCAAAAGACTATGTGTGAACATAATAGAGCGCTAAACATACGCCTGTGAGTGTGTTGAACCAACTACATCACTTCCGTTTTTTCCGAATCCCTGGTTAGAAAACACATACATCTAAATAAAAATATTGTTTTAAAAGAACTCTACATCCAGTCTTAAAAATAAATAATAAACATATTGTTTGAGCTAATGATCAAGATGATTTCTGTAATGGTAAACAGGCCACTGAAATCCCAAAATCAAACTGATTATCAATTATACACTAAGTTTCATCACTCTCTATCAGATAGAATCAAAGTCAAAGAAATTGCTTAGCTCTGCTTAGCTTTAGTGGGAAATGTTAATCATTAAACCCAGTCAAGACATTCACCTAATGAACATCAATATCAAGTTTAAACATTCTACCTCAATTAAAAGCAGAGTTGTTATGTTCCATAGTCTTGACCAATCAAATTGCTTGTCATTCCTTAGCCTAAGCAGAAAATTCTCATCAAACTTAGTCAAGGTAATGATATAATGAATCTATACTCAGAGTTTCATAGTACTCACTTAATTATAACCAAAGTATCGTGCCAAAAAGTATCAACCAATCAAATTGCTTATCAATCTGCTTACCCTGAGCAGAAAATATTCATTATCGAACTTAGTCAAGGTATTGATGTTATGAAACTATACACCAAGTTTGATCACACTCATTTTATCAGAACTAAAGTTATTGTGTCCCAAAGCATCAACCAATCAAGTTTGAACATTCTAGCTCAATTAGAAGGAGAGTTATTGTGTCCCAAAAAGTATGACGGACAGACAGACGGACAAACCCATTTAATAGTACCCTGCCAGGCAGGGGACAAAAAAGACAAAGTAGTAGAAATGATTACATAACACTGTATGTTTATTTGAGGTATCACATACCAGTACCATGCTACATGTATAATAGTTAATTACATTATACAGTTTATTCAAATAACCAACAGATAGTGAATAAAAACAACATTGTATTGTTTAAATCTATAATAATTATAAGTAACAGTTTATTTACAAGCAAAGCAAACCATTATAATGCCTAAAATAATTTACATCAATACAACACCAATTGACATGTTTGATTTTTCATGATCAACAGACTCTTTAAAAAGGGATTAAAATAGCATTTTTATAACTACAATAAACAATATATGAGACCTTGGTTACCAACTCATTAGGAACCATTCAAAATCTTGATAAGCTAACAAGATAAATGTTATAATGAAAGTACATGTACTTATTTTGCAACTAATAAGGATAAAACAGATTTAATTAATGCAGTGGTTACATAATATCCATAATTCACATTTATAATTAAATTAAATTACAAATATTTATGATTCTTAATACAAAAATACACAGACTGAAAAAGTTTTCATTTTATGTAAAAGCTATTATTGGTAGTCTTTAAATCCAGAGTCTAAACTGAAACAAACATTTATTAACCCTTTGAACTTAAAACTCATGGAATGGTAAATGTTCATGCCCCTGAGGAAGGGTAACTCTTGATCTTATCGCTTGTGAAATTTACCTTAAAGTAGCTAAGTCTCTAACTCAATATCATCCAAAGTATTACAAGTTGATAACGCGAATTATTTGTCAATTCAAATCAACATTGATGTTGTGATCTTACCGGGAAAAGGTAGGCTTCTGATCAGTGATGGGATTTCAAAAAATTTCATGTCGGACATTTTTTCCGGAAAATAAAGGGGCATAACTCTTACCGTAATTTAAGCAGACGTTTTCAAGACACAATTAAGAATCATGTGTCAACAAAATATATTCAAATTCATATGTAAAAAAAAATAGGTGCACCTCGTTATATTTCATGTTTAAAACCCGTACGGTATTCAAATTAATCAAATTTATGTCAATAATATTCCTACAAAATTACATGACATCGTAATACAATACTATAGAATTGGCAGCGTGCCGACTGCTGCCGATCTGTTTCAAACTCTCCCAAAATTACTGTATTTTTCGGGTCATACGTCGGTACATTTTTCAGCAAATTCCGACATTCGTCTGATACTCCGTTTCGATTTATATACGGAAGGTAAAAAAATGACATCCCGAAATTTATTTGGCCGTAAACTGTAGTAAACGACGCCCTAATGAGCGAGTGACACCAACTTCTAAATAATTGCATTCGACTGTAGCACGCGCTATCGTCTAAAACAATTAACTACTTACGTCATTCCAATCGAAATATTCGTCAACATTTCTTAGCGTGTTTATTTATTTATTTAAAGACATAAACCCCCTTCAAAATATGATCATAAATCCGACAATATGCTAACAAAATAGAAACTTTTCTCGAACATCAGGCGTATTGGATTCAGCACGTATACATCTCTTAATTTCACGTGTCTCGCGAGATTTGTACTTTCATTTTTAATTACTGAACTCTATAAGCGCCATGTGTGTGAAATATCTTTATTTAACTTCGGCTTCCACCGAAAATATATCACAGACAAATTATCGGATACAATGTATGTTGATTTGAGGTGTTATATACTATCAGGATATGTGACATATAGGACTAATTTCTACGTGTTATTGTCCGACACAAAGGAGATTAAAACGTGAGACAATGGTCAATGGAGAAATCACGGGTTAATCAGATTATGTTCAGGATTGATTTGATGAATTGTCCAATATTTAAGACAAAATAAACATTTTACCATTGGTACACGAATCGTGTACCATAGTGCATTTCAGCGTCATTTGTAACAAATGACCAGAAAGAACGAGGCTAGACATATTCCACAACTCATGTCGAACGGTCACGCCATATATTATCTGGAGAGCATGCACAATAGACGGGAATAACCAGACGCTAGAAATTGCCATTCGGTTGAAACTCATGCTGTATTTCGCTGGATGTAACTGATTTGAAATTAAGAGTCAAAACGGAAACAATTGAATGTAAATCAGTTTATATACAATCAGATAACATTATTATATGGTTGCAACCCATTTGGGTCAATTTCTAGGTCCCAAATATTAACGATTTAGCTCCTTTAAAACTGTTATGAGCTGTAGTACACTGCACACAAACTGAGACAAGTTCGGAAGCAGAAAAAAAAAACCCCTCAGCCTTAATGTTTCCTAGGCTGATAATATTGGTTAACACACTTGTCCACCATATCTTATGTAAGTAAAGTTAGACGTTACATATAACAAAGGCAATAGAAGCATTTTAATATGAACATCAATTGGTTGGTTTGTACTTTTGGAGAAACACAACTGAATGGAAGACATCTCAAATGCCTCTTTTTTGTTTACGATATATCACAGTTTCTTACTTTTTTCTAATAACTAGAAAAAGTTAAGCATTAACATTTACAAGTTTGAAAATAATTCATCTGTTTTAATCAAAGGTTTTGACTTGGGTTCTTGTTCCTTAAACAGGAGAACTCTGGGTAATCAATAGCTAACATCATATAACTCAAGTAAAATGTAGAACACCGACCAAATTGATTGTTAAATAGTGTTAAACATGACTGGCACTACTCTCTAGCTAAATGAGACTAATAGGCCAAAATACAAATAAGCACATTTTAAATTCTGAATTTCAATGACCTTTAAAATTGGTGCATGCCATATATCCTAGAAAATGTCTGAGATGGTTTTGAAGTTGGTATACATGAATATTAATTTTAAGAAGAAAGTAACTGAAAATTACTGAAACAAAGCAAGGCTTTAAAGCAATCCAAAACAAAAAAAATTGTGCATTGTTGCTAAGTTTGGTCATTTGGGCAAATAAGGTCATATTTACCATGAATATTCTGGAAACTCAAAATCGATAATAAGAATTGTTTTTAATATTTCCTGCAATATCTCAAATAGGAGCCCTGAATCTTGTGTCTCATTTAGCCAGAGTTAGTCACAAATATGATTTTTAATACAGTTTAACATTAGAATTACATTGAATGAGTTTTTCCAATTAATAAGATCAAAATAATCCTTTACTACGCTACATACTGAACTCTTCAATATCGTGAAAACATTTGGTGCTAATATATAGATCAATAATTTAAATTATGGGAAGTATCTTAGTCATTTTTATAAAAGAGGAACGTGGCATCAGTAAGGTTTATACAAGTCATAACAAAACAAAAGGCCTTTTTGTGTTATGACTGATGACAATTTACAGGCTGCTCTGACCTTTCACTGTCCTCCTCATCAACATCTAAAAACCCTGTAATTCTGTAGCCCATATTCATTAACATGATTTCTAAAGGATCAGCATTCATTCGTTTTTGGTTTGCAGATGCAGCATCATCTGAGTTGTCAATTTCACGTTCATTTTTGGAACCATCCTGAAAAATACAATGTATATGCAACAAATTATATTATACTTTGTGGTTTACGTACATTCAATAATATCCAATTTGGACAGACAATTAGCATCGAGGGGGTACAGCCAATCTTTACAACTGTAGCACTACCCGTTGGTCAAATATGGAAAGCAGAGCCAAAATTTACAACATCCTTGCTACATATCTTTTGTTTTGGCCTTGATCGTTTAAAACTGGTGTGGATACTGTTGGAACTCTCTACTTTTGGACTTCGCATTATTTATCTAAACATGGCTACCAAAAGCAGGAACACAGTATATGAGCAATAGTCTACATAATACTTAAAAATAACATGTCTTTCATTCTCTCTATCCCACTCCGCTAAAAGGTCTAGCCTTCTGGAAAACACTACGTCATGGTCTACTCAGAATTCAAGCCTAAGCCTAATTTTGGCCTTTTATATTCCCTGATTTTTCGAATTAATTACTGGATTGGACAATTACACCCAATGACATCAAGAATCAGCCAAATATTGACTGATATAGTTTATGATTCTTTTGCAGCCTTGACTCTAGATGAGTCACAGACCTTACGTCCTGTTATTCTCAAAATAATGAAAACAAATTAATTATGTGTCAGATAAACATGTATCCTAAAAGATAACTTTTTATTCATATAGTATAAATCACCAATTATATTACAAAACAGCCATCAAGCATTTCTATCCACCAAAAATGCTGTTATTCTTCATGGATGCAGCCAAAAAAAATGAGGCACAAGCTCAAGCTACAGAAATCATTGTAAGTAAAAGTAAAAAAATAAACGAACCTCTGGTCTCGGACTCCAAAGGCGAACAACTGGATCTATACCACTAGTAGCTAGTAAACAGGAAGTAGGGTGGGGCTGTAAACAATTCACTATAGAATCATCTCCTCTTAATACACGAACAATATTAGTTGTTTCTTTCTCCCATACAAAAAATGACCCATCATCTGATCCTGCTACTATATACTGTCCGTTACTAAACAAAAATAATATATTAAGATTGTGAGAGAACAAATCCAAAAGGTCTACTTGATTATTATCAGCACCAGGACCCAAAACAAACAATATTTAGTCGCTAGCCATCGGAGTCGAAAAGATATATGTCATGCACCATTCAAAACTGAATAATTTACCTTTCCAAAGATGCCTTTTCATTTTGCAACATTAACAATTTCAACATACAATGATATGGGGTAATTAATGAAGCCTTCAATCAAAATATAATGAATGTATGGTGTTTCAACCATCAGAACAGCTAGAAAACAAATGCAAGGGAACGAGACCGACATTCCATACTACCCATTCACATGAAAATTGTTTCAATATGTGATTTGAACCAGAAACATTAAGAGACAGTTATAATGATTTACCTACAGTAATTTATTTAAATCTTTATTCTTGCTTGTCAATATCTATTTTGCATTTTCTCTAAACTTAACATTACAGGTGAAAATTGATTAAAATGGTGAGATTACCTTCCAAAGAAATTAGCTTCTTTTATGTCGGTTGTGGTATTACAATGCCCACAAAATCTGGACTCATAATCATATGCTTGATTTGTCCAGTATTTCTCTTGTTCAGAGACCACCACTGATCTTTGTTTTTCATGAGTATCTCCACTACCACCTTCTTTCTCAACTAAAAACAAAAGACAAAATGATTTCAAAATGTAATGGCTACCACACATTATTTATTGTCTATTGGCTCTTCATAATTAATTGTATAATTGTAAATGGGGGGAGGGTCCCAGTTTTCTTTGGGTCTCTGAAAAAAAAATAGTATGTAAATCAAACAAATCTAGTCAACAGTGATGCTGATGTCCCCTGCCACAATCCCAAAATGAATAGATGACACATTAATTATTTGCACATTTATCTTTTTGAACAGTATCGAACAATCAAATTGATTATCTATACTTTTAGTCTATGCAGAAGATGGTTCACAATCGAACTCAGTCAAAGTTATGAATCATCTGGTACTGAAACTCTACACTAAGTTTCATCACTCTCTATAAGGTAGAATCAAAGTAATCTTGTCCCAAAGCATCGACCAATGAAATTGCTTAACTCTGCTTAGCTTTAGTGGAAAATATTAATCATTGAACTCAGTCAAGACATTCACCTAATGATTATCAACACAAAGTCTAAACATTCTACCTCAATTAAAAGCAGAGTTGTTATGTTCCAAAGTCTTGACCAATGAAATTGCTTATCACTATTAAGTCAAGGTATTGATATAATGAATCTATACTCTGAGTTTCATCGCTCTCATCCAATTGCACCAAAGTTATCGTCTGCCAGTCTCAACCAATCAAATTGCTTATCTCGGCTTAGCCTAAGTGGAAAAGTGCATGATCGAACACTATCAAGGCATTCACATATCAATCATCTACGCAAGGTTTGAACATTCTCCCTCAATTAGAAGGAGAGTTATTGTGTTCCAAAGTCTCGTCTCAACCAATCAGATAAAAATATCTACTAAGCCTAAGCAGAAAATGCTCAACATTAGAAGGAGAGAGATTGTTTTCCAACGTCTCGACCAATCAGATTGCTTATTGCTCTGCTTACCCTGAGCAAAAAAGCTCATTATCGAACTTATTCAAGGTATTGATGTAATAAAATTTTACACCAAGTTAAATTAGGGGATCACGTGGCTTAGTGGGTAAGATGTTGGCTCGCTAGCCTGGAGGTCGAGTGTTCGATCCCTGCATTGGCCGAGACAGTTGATCCAGATTTTCCAGCGTGGTTTCCCCTTGTCAGTGATGCAGGACGGAGGGCCTGACAAGGACAGCTGTCTAGTCGTTCGGATGGGACGAAAAACTGAGGTCCAGTGTACATATTGGCATGCACGTAAAAGATCCCTTGGCAGTTGGAATTTGATATAAGAGTAGGCTGTAGCGCCGCTGCCCGGGCAAAATTTCCCTCATAGCACACTGTATGGCGTATGCTCGTCTTCATTAGCCCAGTTTAGGAGCAGAACAGTAGGACGTTAAACCCCATTTCATTTCATTTCATTTCCAAGTTAAATTAGAACCCAAGTTATCGTGTCCCAAAGCATCAAATTGTTTATCTCTGATTAGCCTAAGCAGAAAATGCTCATCTTTGAACTCCATAAGGTATTCACTTAATAAACACCTAAACCAAGTTTGAACATTCTACCTCAATTACGGTCCCATGTTCTATCCTTGTGTTGGGATTTTTCGGCATGTTTCCGCCATATAAGTGGTGCAGGGCAGAGGGCCTGGAAAGTGACAACATATAGCTGTTTCGATGGGATGAAAAATCTAGGCCCGGTGTACACATTGGCATGTACATAAAAGAATCCTTGGCAGTTGGAATTCAATACAAGAGTAGGCCATAGCGCTGCTGTCCGGGCAAAATTTCCCTCATATCACACTGTATGATGTGTCTGTCTTTATTAACCCAGTCAGAGCTGAACAGTAGAACATTAAACCTGTTTTCATTTCAATTCTAACTCAGTTAGAAGGAGAGTTATATGTATTGTGTCCCAAAGTGTGTGATGGACAGACAGATGAATGGAAAGATAGACAGACACATTTTAATAGTCCCCGGCTGTGTTTGAAAGGCGGAAGACAATAATGCCAAAATGTGAAGAAATAATCTATTTAGCTTGTTTAAATGTTTTCAACTCAAAATATTGAGCCATTTGGAAATGATTGCCATAACAATTTGGGATAAACTCCTTTAGAGCACTCACCTCCAACTCTTTATTGAATAACTTGACTATTTAATACTGTTTGTAAGCTATGCAAAGGGATGATTAAAAAACAGCAATAATCTGTATATTTCTATTACTTGCTGAAAAACTACTAACAACTGAAAGTTTAGAGGGAAGTTGTCACTTCACATGCATCTGAGTGTATCCAGGAGTTGCTTGGGACTAGAATAAGGGTTCTAGGTGCCTTGCAATCAGATATTCATACTTTATATTATCTTAGTCATAAGAAGTAAAGCAAATTTCAGTAAAGCTAATCTGAGTAAATTCATTGTCAAGTCTGATAAAATTTTAATCTCCGTTGGCTCATATTAATCATTCGAAATGACTCACCTGTATCTGTTTTTGAAAATATGGCTGCTTTTATATCACGATCTAATGTTACACAAGCATGACTTTTAGCATAATCAGGGAATTTTATTTTAAATTGTTGTAGACATTCAAATGCTTCTGGTGCCCAGGATAGTTCATAGAGACAGCGTGCTAAACGGAAATGGGCCTTCAAATGGTTTGGATCAACATTCAAGGCACAGTGACAGTCTCTTAATGCTGCATATAAGTCACCATCCCTGAAATTAAATACATAATGGTGGACGAAAGATATCTAATGTGTATTTTCAAACCAACAATATGTGGCACTGATATTTTCTCTGTTTCAAAATAAATATATTTCCTGTATAATGTAAAAAAACAAATAGTTTGCCAGGAAATAAACATACACCTACAGCAGCTAAGTCATTCAAGCAGTTCAGAAGTTTTGTTGCACTATAATTCTTTAAGCAAATAAAAAGCAACATCTGTATACCATACTGTATAACACAGGTTTGTTGACAAGATAATAAAACACAGTCAAGGGCAATAACTCTATAAGTAATTATCAGAATTAGTTGTCATTGTTATTCATAGTAATAATCAAGAACAGTTTGACTTTCGTTGTCGAAGCATTCACAAGTTTCTACAAAGAACTAATTAACGAAAGTTGTTGAACTTTGATAAACTTCTTCAGTTCACCAATCTAAACAATGCATGTGCATTTCAAGCAGATTTAATTATAACTTTTTCCTCTAAATTGCTCATAAGAATTTACAAGTTAAACAAGAGCCAGAACTCCAAAAGTAATTTTAACAATGCATATAAATTTTAAGCAGATTGGATGATATTTTTTGTCATTAGAGCATTCAACAAGATTTTACAATGGTGATCAAAGGCAATAACTCAAGAAGTAATTAACAAAAATTTTCCAAAATCAATTTGAACATGCATTTAAATTTCAAGATTGGATGGCAACTTTTGTTGCTTGAACCTTCAAAAAATTCTACAGAGTGAAACAAGGGCCATGACTCTGAGTTATTTAACTAATTTCAACAACGCATGTAATTTCAAGCCTATGAGAAAAGTAGCTTTGGTTAGAGTATTCAGAAGATTCTACAAAATTAAATAAGGGACATAATTGTCCAGATAATTATATAATAATAACAGACAGCTTTATGGATATCATTCACTAGGTTTATGAACTGCAACGTTTCCATGAGGACACTCTCACCGTTGCTTGATAACGGTGAGAGTGTCCTCATTGAAACGTTGCAGTTAATAAACCTAGTGAATGTTATCCATAAAGCTGTCTGTTATTATACATCGCTTTCACTAAATGCCTTTTAAAGATGTCAGATAATTATAGTAGAGAAACCTTATTAATTTTGTGTGAAAGGTTCTTAAAAATCTTTATTCTATCATATGTGATTACCTACTAGTTTCATCCCTGCATTCTCTACTTGTGTTTTTATAAATTAATGAAAAATTAATGAAAAAAATTGGGTTTAATGTCCTACTTTTCTGCATAAAGTAATTGATGCAAATTGTTGAAATTCAATAGACTTCTTCATCTTATTAATGTAAACAACATACAGAAATTTAAAAAAGATTAGAAGATAAGTATAATCTGTAGAGTGTTCACAAGAAGTTGTGGACGACTGACTGACGGGGTAATGACAATATACAACGACAGTTCCATGTGGGTGTGTAAGAAACATTTATGTGCTCAAACCTGGGAAAAATATTTTTCACCTCCCTCTTGACAACAGACATTCGAATAGCTATTCTATTTTCAGTATGCTGATGGTTACAAAGAAAATATTCTAAGATGTTATCTTATAGTTTGGCTAGAAGCTTCTTACTGACTACATGTTTATTATTGAGTAAAAATCTTAGTGACATCAAATTTCCTACTAACCATTTTCGTTTCATATAAGCAGCTGCCCGATTACTAAATAGGACGGAAGAAAGAGGAGCACGCGATATTGCCTGATTATACATCATAATGGCCTTCGTAAATTCATCCTTTTCAAAGTAATTATTGGCCCTTTTCTTTAAATATTCTACACTAGGGGCTAACTTGACATCGGATTTGTGTCTGAAGAGAAAAAATAAATAAAATTAATCAGCAAATAAACAGAAGGAATTAAGCAAAAGTTGCAAAAGAAAATAAATTTCAATAATAAATTGAAGAAAATACAGAGAAACTGATCTGTATTTGTTGATTATGATCACAGAAAATTTCCGACAACATTTAAACTCCAACAACAATCTGTCAGTATAAACTGCAGTAAGACAATAAAGAATTATTACTTTCTATATGGTCTGGCCTTTTCTGTTTTTTCTGGGTCATCTATTTCAAATTCTACTGGCTGAGGAAAAGAGGCACTAGTTGATGGCATGGACATTAGAGGCTTAACACCATTAGTAACCCCATTGGCATCTGTTCGATGAATACTGAAACCGTTAGTAGGGGGACATGTTGCTTCTGTAATGAAAAGAAAATGTTACTGAAATGTTGACAACAACTGATACTGTGGATACAAGTGATGCAAACATGGCCTTCATTTTTTTCAGGAATTGATATTCTGTTACAGATCAGATCAAAGGCATATCCAGTAGCGGATTATCAGTGAGGCTGATGAGGCTGCAGCCTCAGGCCCAAAGATTTTGTAAAAAAAAATTTTTTTACACTTGTCTGATACGATTAAAAACGCATAGACAATGAATGTTAGGGGGGTTGGGTTTAGGCCCAACGGGAATCAACATAGGCCTTGATCCGAAATTAATTAGGCCCACGCCATTTTAAATAGGCCCTATTTAAAAACTAAATAGGCCCTCCAGCAACTGCCGCCTCAGGCTTTGGTGGAGCTTGATCCGCCACTGGGCATATCACGACACAAATACAATGGAATACCCTAAATTTTCTTTAACAAAACAGAAACATGTATAGAGCTCCCAGGTATTTAAATTTGTGCACAGAGAACTGTCTTAATAATATAAATATGCCTGTCTGAATTTCAGGGTGCATCAAATGCACTTTAACGATACATTACCATGAAAGTATTTATCAAGTAAAGTTATTTCCAATAATAGTATGACAATTGGTATGTATGGAGAGAAGAGACACCCAATCTTTCTAAAAAAATACTAAATTCTTTGAAAAAGGCACCCTTTTATGGCTAACTGTTGCAAGAATATTTAGAGATTTAAACGTCCAGTAGATTCTGCGATTAAACAGCAGACCAAAAAATTGACACAGGATAATCCAGGAAATTAACTTAAGGGAAATGAAATGAAATGAAATGGGGTTTAACGTCCTACTGTTAACTTAAGGGCTTTGTTACTTACATGTAAATGGACAATACAAACTAACAATGGATTCTCCCTCAATCAAGTCATGTGGTAATCAAGGTTGAATAAAATATATTCTCATGGGGTAGTTGTCTTCCGATTAAAAGGTTTTGAGAGGAATTTGAAGCAAACTTTGATAGATAAATTAGTTTGAATATGTTTTTGGTCCAAATATATCATCAAATCACACAGTTTGTAAACAGGAAGGCATCTCTGAGAAACACAAATACAGCTAATACGGCCACATTTTGCAAGAGATGAATAGAGAACAAGCTAAAAAAAAAAGCGATTTTTCCTACAATCAAGGGTCATAATTCAGGAAGTTAAGAACCAAGATCTTCAGGATATAAAGCTATATTTCAAGTTTCATCAAAATCGGATCGAAATTGTGACTTCTAGAGGGTCCACGCCCTTGATATACCATATATTTACACTATTTGCGGACAAGGGGCGCCCATTTTGTCCGGCAGTTTTGGTCCCATTTTCACAAAATTTTTAAATCAGATAAAAATTGTGACCTCTAGAGGGACCACAAGCTAAAACGTGATTTTTCGTACAGATGGTATGATGGAATCAATTTTGACTACATTAAAATGATGCATTTGATATTCAGTTAAGTTGATAAACAATAATTAATAGAATACAGTATCAAAAAAAAATTGTTTTATCCAACGTTTCGTCAGTAAAAAAATACTAACTTCTTCAGGGATGAAGTCATTTTGTATTTAGTTCTTCATCCATGAAGAAGTTAGTATTTTTACTGATGAAACGATGATAAAATGATGGTTTTTTGATATTGTATTTTATTAGTTATTGTATATCAACTCACATGAAAATGTGGCTGTATAAAAATACTGTGATTAGTTATCTTTAATATGTATGAGTTTTGTACTAACAAGGTGCACAGAAATAAGTTGTAATTATCTAAATAGGCTTGTCTTAATTTCAGGGTGCATCAAATGCCCTTTTAAGAAACACAAATAACGCTAATACCATAATATTGTGTCAAAAGTTGTTTTAAGCCTGGTAGTTTAAGCCTAATCTCTTTTATTCAACTACAGTAGTATTTACCTCTTACGACTCCATTTGCACTTTTAATTAAAGATATGTCATATTTCTGAGGATGCCGTTTCTTATTGATGTCAAATAAATAAATCTGTTCTCCTCCTAAATTCACCAATAGTTCTGAACCAGTTGGACTAAATGTTACATATGTTGAAGCTAAACTTCTGTATCGTTTGTATCTTATATAGTCAGATTGTTTCTTTGGTAAATGGCCTGAAAATAAAAGGAACGTTATATCAAATTAAAAGAAAAAATTCATTATTATTTTTAGGAAACATCTGTACAGTGCTGTTTTCAAAGAAGTGCTTTGATGTGTTTTACCTACAAAATATCTGAATGATAAAATTATCTAAAATGAAATAAAGATGAATTATAAACACAAAACGCATAAAAGTAAAGAGTAAATCAATATCAATTGAAAGCAGGTAAAAAAAAGTGGGTTTGCAATTTTTTCTCAAAAATAACTATAGATTGGCTATAGTGTAAATTAAAAGAAAGGTTATTCCATAGTTTTGGATCTAGTGAACAGAAGACGATCCCAGATTTCTACAAGATGAATATAATCTTAGATGAATATAATATTATAATAAACGCAAGTATATACCTGCCACATAATAATCTACACAACCAACTGGTAAACTATAATCTTCACCACTTACAGCATCTAAATGTGGATGATCCCATGGAAACCTGTTTAAAAATATATTACAGAAGACTAAAAAGAAGGCTATGGAGAAACTAGACAAACTTAAACAAGTTGTAGACTCAACTATCATCAGGATTTCTCATTTCTTCTACAAAATATATAAATACCATGTCTTAATTTTACTACAATTGAACACTGTGTACACAATGAAAGTTAGATTGCAAGGCAACAAAACATACACCCACTGCACCTAAATTTTCCAAGCAGTCCACAAAGGAGGTTGTCACAAATTTATTCTTTTGTAGGTAATGTGAGCATTTACAAGGCACAAAAACACTGATCAAGAGTAAGAAAATATTAAAATTTTATTGGCTTCTAGTTCATCCTTACTAACATTTATTATACAAAACTTGTACTGGTAATCAGATGATAAATTTAGTCTTTAAGACTTTAGCTGATGGAGTCAATTGAAGATAAGTTCAGCCTCTAGAATCTAGATCATCCACAAGATATTCCCATTGATTAAGGGTCGTAATTCTGCCAGCAGGATGGGGATGACTACAATATAAGAAATATCAAAATGAATATTTATTCACCTATTGCTTGCCTCTCCAGGATACTGCATACGTCTACATGTTAACATTCTTCTATCATAAACTCTAACATATGGATCATTAGCTCCTACAGCCATTAATTCAGGTTGAAGAGGATTAATAGACAAACATTTAGCTTCAGCATATTCTCCCATGTGAGCATTCAGATTTATAAGAATATTCTGTGGATTAGTTTGGGATGTGTCTGTACAGCGTAGATCAAATTGCCTGTAAAAGAGATAAATTTCTATATTTGACAACTTAAAAAGTCTTTAAGCAGTTGAATATTAGTTTATAAAGTAAGATGAATATCTAACATACACTGAGACACTATCCCACTACCAACCTGAGACTGGGCGATCGTTTCCAGCTAACAGGGTCCACTAGAGATTGGCCACAGCCTGTATGACAACATGTGACAATGCCTCGACAAGATCAGCACATTATCTAGCAACATTTGCAGGATCGCACGTTTCAAAGTTCTTGTACTGTTGCTAATGAAAGGGGACCACATGGCTTCATGAGTGCTGACACTATCTGTCGAACTGTGGTCTGCGTGCTTAAGTTTCACTGTAAAGGAGGGGGGGGGGCTTAGTATATATATGTCCAGCCTATAACTGTGCTAAAAATCACATTAAACCTGCTGTTTGTCTCCCTAGCATTAATTATTTCCGTTGCATGTTTTATTTCATTCTTTTAAAAATTTTAATATTTCTTAACCAAATGTAGGAACATTTAAAATAAATTTCTCACATAATAGTGCCATCTTCTGCAGCACTCCAGAACATAAATGGAATGGTTGGAGCAGTGGCTATTCTCTTTACACGACCAGCGTGACAACTATAAACATGTGTGGTATCTTTCATATTTAAATCATGAACCCGAATTTTACTATCTGCAGCTCCACTGACTAGTATCACATCATTAGAATTAGGCAAGAACTGAAAGCAAAAATACATAAATATGATTTCAGCAAAACGGCATATCAAAATTAAATTTTAAATAGTCTATTTATAGATACATTCCCACCAAAGTATTTCCAATAAAAGTATGTCAAATTTGGTATACATGGAAAGTGGAGACACCCAATCTTTTTAGAAAAATACTGGATTCCCTGAAAAACATCCATGGAGTGCGCACTGGCCAAAAATGAGAGGATGTCACTAAATGTCAGCCTGACACTAAATGTCAGCCTGACACTAAATGTCAGCCTGACAATTAGGGCTGTCTGCTTGAATGATGACAAAGGTTGCACGCATAGTTTGTCTGACTATTTTTCAATAGGAAGCGCTTAATGTATATGTTGATACACATGATCTTGAGTGGACATGGAAAATGTGAGAGACTTAAATTTACATCAGATTCTGAGACTTAACTGTGGAAAAAGAAGAGGGCAGGGGATAATCATCTTTTATATGCAATGGATTCTCCTTCGGCTTCAGTTTCAGTGATGCACAAAGTCACATGGCACAAACATGGCATCTTTAATGCTTTACAGAGAAAAAGAGATAACTGGGGTTTAATGTGAAATAGATGCCATGCTAATGAATCACAACCTTTCATACCATCCTATATTTATTTGCATTTGTACTAATTTCTGATAGTAATCAAACTATATCAGTTAGAAGAAAGCAAGAGTGACTCAATCAAAATCAACAAAGATATGTTGCCAGGCAACAAAACATACGCCCACAGCAGCTAAGTCGTCCGGGCAGTCAACAAGTGTTGTCTCATATTTTTTCTTTTGTCAGTAATGAGAACATTTACAACACATGAAAATCTGATTACGAGTAATAACCCATGAAGTAATTTCTCTCGATCATTTGTCTTGTGACCTTAAATAATTTATATTAACTTTAGCTTCTAGAGCGTCAACACAATTTTTCAAAGTGATCAAGGGCCTTAACTCTGGCAGTAATTATCTGAATTCGTTGAAAATGAATAGGATTCTTTGTCTCATGATCTTAAACACTGTGTATAAGTTTAAAGTCAATCGGATATTAACTTTAGCCTCTACAGTGTCCAAAGTGATCAAGGGCCATATCTCTAGCAGTAATTATTGGAAATCTTTGAAAATCAATAGGCCCCTGTATCTCATGATCTAAAACACTGTGTTTAAATTTAAAGTTGATCAGATATTAACTTTAGCCTCGAGAGCTTCAACAAGATTTTTCAAAGTGATCAAGGGCCACAACTCTGGCAGTAATTATCGGAAATCGATGCATCAATAAGCTTCTTCGATTCATGACCTTAAACACTGTATATAAATTTAAGTCAATCGGATATTAACTTTAGCCTCTAGAGCGCCCACAAGAAAATGTGGACGCTGGATTGACGAAGACGACAACAACATATACGCCCACATTGAAATGTGGTCGTATAAAAACTGTGTTATTCTCAACTTACCTTTACAGCAAATATGTTACCTTGATGACCTGTTCGTAAACTGGATAGTTGTTTATGGCTGAATGGGTCCCATAATATAATCTGAACATCATCAGATCCACTAGCCAATAATCTATAACACATTTATAACAAATTTACATACCAACTATAGATTTTTATAATTCTCCTCTTAAGAATAAAAATGACCATAAAAGAAAATGTACATGCTATGTATTTCAAAGATATTGCTACATGTATTTAAAGATATATTTCCTTTACATAGCCTAAATAAAAATACATTCATTGGAAAATGTAAGCTAACTACCAAGAAATTCAAACTAAGTACATTTTAAATAATACAAATTATAAAGTGTCTGTGCGTCATTTAATACATAAATATTTTAATATATAAATATTTGCATGTCATGACTTAATCCATGCTAAAAAGTGTCAGTACTCAATTTAAATATCTAACATTGAATTAAAACACCAAAATTAAAATATCAATGGTGGATAACCTCCTGGCTAGGATCCAATCAAATTAAAAAGAGACCTATCAAAGGATTTTAGCTGCCTTTGAGATAACACCGAATGTTGACAAATGCATCATGCTTTTGTCAATACTGAATGAAATCAATCCATTTTGAATAGATTCCATTTGCCAGAGTTTTCTCTTTCCTTCAAATGACATTCAGAGACTTTAATGGGGAGCCATGACACCTTGTAAGACAACAACTAGATAAGCACGCTAGCAAGAGTGCACATAGCTTTGGCCATAGAGAACAAAAGTGTACACTGACATTCTAATTGTAAATCTGTGGTTGACGGTTGACCATCTATAAAAATAGGAAAGATTTACTTACGTTCCCTTTTCATTCCATTCCAGGCAATTTACACATCCTTGATGACCCTTAAAAATTCAAAAACAATCTCAGCTATTCACAATCCATTACTAAACATTCATATTCAATAGTTTTTCTATTTTCTTTCCAGTTCTCTGGTATATATATAAGCTTACAGATAAAACAAATATGTACAAATTTCATTTTGGCAGGTTTTATATACACATTAAACATTTATATACACAATTACATGTATAAAAGCATTAAACTTAAAAGTGAGCATTAAGTTTACCTCTAACTCTTTTTCTAACCCTAATCTACTAATCAGGTCCGGTGTTACATGTTGATTTCTCTGAAAGGTTTTATTTATTTTGTCCTGAAATGATAAAAAGGAATTTGGAAATCAATAATTTCATAATTTCATTGATTCAATGATGAGTTACAGTTTCCCCACTTACTGAAATTGTGGGTTATGCATTGTTTAACATTCTGACCAATATATGATTGCCTAGTTATAATAACAAGATTTTACTAAGAAACTGTTTAAATTATCAGATATAATTATTGCAAAATACATTATTTATCGGTATGTGGATAACTAAGTTAATTTCACATATGGTTAGAATATATACTCTTCAAAAAAAGTAGGGGATATTGAAATGCAAATACCTATGCAGGTTGCGATATGATAAAGATTGATGGACATTTGACATGTTTTCAGAGTATGTTCACAGATGGAGAACTTATCACCCCAACAGAACCACTGAGCTGCACATGCGATAGGCAAAAGCGCCATACACGTGGGAGGGGTTCATTGTCAAATTTGACACTTCAAGGAAGGGTTGATGAAAACTGCTGCGTGCTGGTTTATCTATCCATGTTTGCTTTCCTATCGGTTCTTGCATAAGATTTACCGTTTAGCGTATCTTTGCTTTAGCGTGTTACATTTAATTTTATCGGGAGACGTGTTCGTTGACGTTCTTTGTCAACTGAATTGGCCGTGGCACTGCAAGAGGAGTGGGTCAGATTGCCCCAAATCATGATTGGACAGTTGATTAGGAGGATGCCACGATGAATTGCTGAATGTCAAAAACGTCCATTTTCACTTTTGACGGTGTATCTCTTTGCGAATGAAATGGGGCCGTCAGATAAGCCCCCCTATATGAACTGTTTATGTTCATGTGTAGGCAATCGGCCTGTTATTAACATACACTGGTTACCTCTAATAAAAACAACAGTGCATTTCCACAGTTTTGTATTGTTTCTAATTATCCCCTACTTTTTTTGAAGAGTATATATAAGAGGAGTTATTATCACATGTATCTCAACCAAATACTAAAAATACTATACAGCCCGGATACAATGCATGTGTTGTATCTTTAAACTTTAAGTGAAGAAAATACATGACAAACCTGTTATGTTGTATATTATCATGAAATAAAATATCACAATACTGAATTATCTTAATCATAACAGCCCTAATGGTAAGAAATATAGCAGGAGGAAAGTACCAGCTGCTCGCATTGTGACTAGGTCAAATCTACACTCTCATATCACTCCTGTACTGAAAAAACTTGATTGGTTGCCTGTTCAAGCCAGGATCGATTTCAAGATATTGTCTCTTGCCTATCAGTGTCTGGATGGAAGTGCTCCAAAGTACCTGTGCGATCTCTTAAAATTTTACATCAAGAATAATCAAGAATGAAGTATGTTACTGGTACAAATTTACTTACATTTACTTCTCTTATTAACTTTCTCTTAAAGTTAATAGAATTTGCCATTTCTGGTTTTCTTTAATTATAAAATCATTTAATGGTCATCTTTTCTATTGGCATAATGACCGTTTGTTTCTCCACAAGACTCCAGTCAAAACAGTGGATTTTAAGGGGTACACATAGATAGGACTCTTATAGGTCACAAATAAATATATTATATATGAATCCAATAATCGATATTATCAAATATCTGTAGCCCGAAATGTTACTCTTGATGATGATTTATATTAGTTGGTGGCTGATTTACAGCTCACTAATCCAAGAAGATCAAAACTAATTTTTTGCGACGAGAAATTCGAGTGACACTGTAACTGTTACTCAATCAGTCAATGGGAACGACCGTGAATGTATTCTGGTTAATTACGTGTAGCTTTGTTTGTAAACATTGACAGTGCTTTTAAAGTGTGGATAAAATAACCAACATGTAACATTGTAGTTTGGATAATCCAATTATCATTTGTAGCATTTAAATTTAATTTTTTGTTGTGAAAATTGTTGTTGTTATTTTCGTGGTTCATTTCCTACGGATACAATCGCTTTTACAATTGTCGTAAATATAAAAACATAAACAAGTTGATCTGTTATAAAATAGCTGATAAATAGATGATATAACAAGAAAAACAAATGGATAATAGAGTATACTTACCAGTTTATGCAATATTGTATAGATTTCATGATAAGATCTAATGAAAAAAATAATCCGTAATGTTGCAAATATCAATTTTGACCCATTTGTGGTAGCAATGGCCGACGCCGTCGAAAAATTAATTTTGCAAAGTGATTGGCAAGAGAGTTTACGGTATTTAGTTTTTATATTCCGCCTGGTCATATTCGCATACCATCAGCTAATTGATACTTTAAATAACTAGTGTATTTTCATTTCAGGGAACAGGAGGGGAAGGCATGGGTGACCTACAAACGTGGTGGTACGTTGATTTTTATTGTTCATTTTTCAATTTGTGACTTTGTCTAAAAATCAAACATTGATTTACATTCCTGGAATACTGAACCTGAGTGGCTTTCCTAGGAGATTAAATCACAAAGCTGATATGATATAACATACACCATTTATAGCACTAATCATGTTTGTAAAAAGTGGGGTAAAGTTTGGCAAATTATCTCCCTTGACGCATCAATTATAAAGCCAAGGGTCACATTCATTAAATTTTATTTTTTTAACACACAGTTTCCCCAAGGAACTACCAAACCTGGATATATTTCCAAGCTTCATATTGTTTTTAATTTGTGTTTAGATAAACTTGGGGTACATGGTGAATTGGAGACGCAAGGTATTTCAAGTGAGGGTTTGCCATATTTGATTGGATCAGACGGTTTCTCTGTGGATAAAATTACAAAGGTATCCAATAGTTTTGTATCTGTGTGAAAACAATTTCTTGAATTCTTCTTTGCTCTTTTGTGTTTTTAAATTTTAGACCACATAGACCATTGTTGTCAGTGTTTATAATTCCACATCTTTTTAATCCAAGGCAGATTGATACATGTCATTTCGGTTCCGTGTCATTTCGGACTTACAACATTTTGGACTAAAAAAATTATGGTCGTGACGTTTCGGACTCGGGAATAAGTTGAAAGGAAAGGTTGAACACAACTGTCAAATCAACCTATAATAAACCAAAAGCAATTTTATAAAAATTTACCGCTCGCAATCAAGTACAGCACGTAGATCTCTCAAGGAACTCCAAAATTTTCAATGTTCATTGCTTATCTGTAATATGTATATATAAAAAGTAGCTGATGAATTTATTAGAAATAGGTCAATTCTAAACATGAAAGAAAATATTAACATGAAACAAGTGGTTATTAAAAGACTCTACCAAACGATAAAACATAGTTGCACTTACGGTTCTTTATCATCGTTTCCCGTAAAAGTAATTTATTTTTTTAAAAAAGAATAATATAATGTAGAATTTATTTCAAAATGACCTACACAAAAAACAAAAGTAAATATTTACTCGACATGCACTGTTTTTACAAGCCCCTAGAATTTTTTAACAATAATCTGTAAGCTACACGTTGACATGCATTCCTGGACAAGCTTGCCATAGATAGCAGTACCAATCGATAAATTAGTGCGTACAAAGAAAACTCTTTTTGGAAAATATTAGAAATAGCAACGATCAAAGTGGGATAATTAAAGCCGATTAACCGATAATCCTTATGTTATTGTAGTATGCACAAAGAAACCTTACAGTCCTTTAGTGGACGAGGAAAAACGTGAGTTGTCAATCGGCGATAATGGCGGCCGTGTGTTGATTTGACTTGCGTAGAAGACATTTAGGCTTTCACAATTATAAAAACATTAGGAGTATTACTAAATATAAACAAATTTTCAACAATATTTTATTGACAAGTTCAATACTCGCCGATGAAACAAAACAAAATAGAACAAGCAGTGTAAAATCAGTGTGATCTTTTTATTAGCGGTCTCAAGAATCGCCGATCAATTAAATAAAACAAAACAACTATCGAACTCACATAGAACGAAAAAAAAAACCTCAGCTGTTACAAATATATCCCACAAATTTTCAACAGTCTTTTAATTATTCATCCAAGTCTGAAACGTCGCCAGACCGAGTCCGAACCGTCGTCAAACTGAGTCCGAAACGTCGTCTGTGTTAGGTCCAAAATGACACGGGACCGAAATGACGTGCTACCGGCAGATTATGATGTAGTGTATATACTGTATATTCTATATTAAATTATGGTCACCTTATTAGGTGGATTTACTTAAATTATTATTATTATATTCAGTATAGAATAGCAGTGACATATAGTGGACAAGAGTCTAGCATCACAAGAAAATTTGTTGCTCCACAAATAACCTACTCTACTATTCATGATTTAAAGAAAAAGGTATATTATTTATTATTATTGAAAATTACATGTGTTTCACCCGGGCATTCAGGTTGTATTTGGGATTTTTATTACCAGTAACAACGATGTTTTTAATGGGTTTTTTGTTATATGCCCATGTGGAAATGTGGTCGTACATGTATATTGCCGTCGCCTCCATCGTCCACAATTTCTTGTGAACACTCTAGTACTCTACAGACTACATTTATTATTTGATCAGTTTGAAATTTATATCTGTTGTTTACATTAGTGAGACGAAGAAACCTATTTAATTTCAATAATTTCTGTTAATTACTTCTTGAGTAATGGCCCTTGTTTCACTTTGTTGAACCTTGTGTATGCTTTATTGACAAAAGTTATCATCTGATCTGTATGAAATACATATGCATTATTTAGATCACTAAATCAAAGAATCCTATTGAATATCAACAATTTCCATTAAATACTTCTAGAGTTGTGTCCCTTGTTGAACCGTGTGAACGCTCATTCGATAAAAATTATCATTCAATATGTATGAAATTTGAATTTAAACAATTTCTGTTAATAACTTTTACAGTTATGGTCCTTGTTATACTTTCTTGAACCTTGTGAACATTCGATCTGTATGAAATTGATATCAGTGTCTTGTAAATGCTCCTATTACTTACAAAAGCATAAATATGTGACAACCCTTGACACATTTAGCTGCTGTGGGCGTATGTTTCATAACTTGGCAACCTATCTTTTCTTTTCTTTTTATTGTACAGTCAGTGTTGCACAGTCTACTATAAACACCATTCAGAACCCTGTTTTCAAAATTATTTCTTTTTTATTCCTGTGCACCTCTGTCAATTAAATAAAACATCATTTACTGGACCATACATTAATAATACTGTTTTATAGACACAAAAATGTTGCTGTTTTAACCAAAATCTGATATAATTATATCATTTTTTAAAAAAACCTTTGAATTCATATACACAAGCTTAACTAAATTTGCAATATTTTGCTCTCTTATCAATCATCAGTATACATAGTCTTGTCTCTCAATGAAAATAAAGGAAAATTTCACAACACTACAATGACACAAAAACACTAAATCAACATTATGATTGAATCCAAGCCATTAGTTAAGGTAATGAAGAACTCTCAGTTTCTGTGCTATTTTACTTTATATATGTGACAGTCAATGTCTACAATCAGGCAATGTGTACAATGCCTGAAATATACCAGTCAATGTGTACATTGCCGGGTTAGGGTTGGGGTAAGGGTTGGGGTGGGGGTTATGGTTACAAAGGCATTGTACACATTGCCTGATTGTAGACATTGACTGTAACATATATAGTTTGAAAATGTAATTTTTCATTAAAAGGTATTATCATTGGATGTGACACCTGGGGGTCTTGGCATATCTAGTGATAGCAGTGGACTTTTAAGAGTCTGGGAAGCAAGAACAGGAGAAGTTAGAGTAAGACATGGTTAAACATACATTCATTTTTATTATACGCCCATATTAAAATGTAATATGTTGAAAAGTTGGATAAAATGATGTTTTTTTGATATTGTATTCTATTATTTATTGTATATCAACTTATCTGAATATCAAGTGCATCATTTTGACTTAGTCAAAATTGATGCTATCAAACCATCTGTAATTGGTTTGCGTTACCTGTTTCTATTGATTGGAAGTTTCTCACATTAAAATGTGGTTGTATATTGCCTGTGGACACTCTAGAGGCTAACGTTAATATCTGATTGTCTTTGAAGTTATACACAGTGTTTAATGTCATAAGACAAAGAAGCATATTGATTTTCAACAATAACCGATAATTACTACCAGAGTTATGGCCCTTGATCACTTTGTAAAATCTTGTGGACGTTCTAGCTAGGGACTAAAGTTATCACCTGATTGACTTTAAACATACATTATGCAAGAGCTAAATCTGTTTATTGCCGGTCTTTCTTTAGGCCTGAAATGTTATCTAAATTATTAATTAGACATTAATTAACCTATCCAGACCATAATCAGCTCTAGATGGCATTGCTAGCCTGTGATCTTTAGTGGATTATGAGCCGAATTACTGCTTAACTTTTCTTCACGATTTAACGATTAAATGGATAATCAAGACTATGCTGTTTATCGTACTGACTTTAGTAATGATGATCGAGGCTAGGTGGAAATTTCAATCGCTTAGTTCTCGGTTCATTGTGGATTAATTTGAATAAAATTTTTAGCAAATTGCCTTTACATTATCTAGTTTTTAACTATTATAGAAAGAACTGCCAACTATTTATCGAATCTCCCATAATGTATCTTTAAATTTATAAACAAATGTTTATGGTCATGAAACAAAGAAACTTATTGATTTTCATCAATGTCGATAATTACTACCAGAGTTATTGCCCTTGACCTCTTAATATTCTTGTTCACACTCAACAGTCCCAAGTTATCATCTGATTTACTTATATTTTTATAAACAGTGTTAACGGTCATGAGACAACAGAGTCTATTGACGTCAGATAACTTCAACAGCTAATTAATGATATTAAATGTTTGGTATACTAAACGTTAGCATATGACAGAACTAGAAGCCAAACAAATTCTAATGATTTCGGATAATTACTTAATGGGATGTTACTCTTAATCAGTTTCTAGTTGCTTGTAAATGTTTTCATTACCAACAATCTATCTTAGTGTTATTAAATATATTGTTATTAGATCACTTGGAGCTTAAAGAAAAACTCATTTCTCTTATTAAATGATTTATTTTCAGAGAGAACTGACTGGTCATTATGGTGATGTTTATACTTGTAAATTTTTCCCATCTGGTATTGTGGTTCTATCTGGTGGAGCAGACATGCAGCTTAAGATATGGTCAGCAGAAACAGGAGACTGTGCAGCCACTCTGATTGGTCATAAAGGAGGTATTATATAATTACTTCTTTAAAAAAAAACCGATTGTGTAATATATATCTGTCATGTAAATATAGTTGTTGTTGGACCTGGATGAAAGTTATAAAAACAATATCAGACTGTATGTCTAGAGTGGTTTGCTAATATAGCAATTTGAGATTATGAATACAACTTTGATAATGAAGATATAAGTTTCAATCTATTCTGAATTTTAGGTGTTTTAGACACAGCTTTTATTGATCGAGGTAAGAATGTCATATCGTGTAGTAGAGATGGTACAGCTAAATTGTGGGATGTAGGACAAAATGCTTGTCTCTATACATTTGAAGAATGTGGAGGAATTGTTAATTGTTGTTCTGTGGGAATTCCTGAAAATTCGTATAGTCTTGGTGCTATAGAAATTCCAACAGGTAAAATATTACTTTTAAAAACTATTAAATGATATTGTCATGAACTTTTGCATAACATTTTTATTTCATTAAAGCAGAGTTAAACAATAGAAGATAAATTAGGCCTACACATTATAAATCAATTCAAGAGAAACTAGTGTAAGAATGAACAGCGTAATTCTTTTAGACATTCAGATGTTTGTATTTCAGGTCAGCGTGAAGTAGGTACTGAAGATAAATTATTATTATTAGCCTGTGAAAATGGTACATTACAAGGCTATGGTTTACAAAGTAGAAAAAAGGTATTTACTAACTCTTAAAAACCCAGAAGACCTGTCATATTGTAAATTGATGTGAAATGCAAAACACTGATGGGAAGTGTCATAGCTCCTTCTTAAATTTTGTTATAAATTCCCAGAAATATTGCATTGTTCTGATAAAAATATTGTTATCGATCAAAGGGATGCACCTAAATCCCTCAAACCTATATACAATCAAAATATTCATCCAAAGTGTAGATATGTTTTCATCCTGCAAAACACAATGTTGAATGGGGATACTTAGTCAAACATTCACAAATTGAATTGTCTCAGTCACCAGTCAGTGGTGAAACTTGACTGTTGCATTTGACTATATCATGATTCTACTCACACCAAATAATTTATAGATTCTGTGTCACTCAATTGCAATTCTCTCTTAAACATTCCTAACTCCCCATTAATAAATCAAATTTGCACTAAATCAAAAAGGTTGTTTGTATTTAAAATTCATTGTATGAATTTAATTGTTATATTTTAAGGTATTAGAGTTAGATTGTCACAGTGCTGTTAACTGTTGTTGTTTTATTTCTAATGTCCATGTGGTATCTGGAACACAAGATGGTCATATTGCAGTCTCAGATATTAGAAATATAAGGTAATGGACTAAGGGGCATAACTCTTCTGTGCACCAATGTTTGTCTGATATCACATCAACATGAATAAGTTATAGGGATTATAGGTAATACAATCTCTTATCAAAATAATAAACACTTAATGCTCTTTAAGATATTTACCTAATGTTTTGACTATATAGATATTATTGCAATTGTAGAGTACCTATTAAAGAATGGAAAGAGTCAAGAGCAGCCATATTATCTCTAGTACCACATAAGCAAGGGTTTTTTGTTGGAACGGGTAAACGATCTTTTTTCTGCATGAAATTCTTTTGTCTTTTGTTTTTAATTTATGATGGCCTAAAACTAAACAACTGATACCTTTACTGACTTTTACCTGTATCAAATCAAAAACATGAGATGATGTGGTTCAACTTAATTAAGGTAGTACCAAGCTACTAATTAATATGAGGAGGTATAGATGACCTCACATGACAACAGTAGCTGCAGTAGACATATTCTAAAATGCTCCAGTCACATGGTCTAGCCCACTTTTTTTTATCTCCAAGTCCCTATTTTATGTCTTTTTATATTGTACCCCTTTTTTCTATGTAAACTACAACCTCCTCTTTTTGAAACTCCGCCATCAGTACCTGATCAGACTAATATCAAGCTAATTGCATTAGCGGTTCCCTAATTGACCTTTACTCTAGTCCCTGAGACATGAATTGAATTTCACCCATCCTCTTAAGCATTTATCAAGACATAATTTTATTTATTTATATTTATTTTGCAGGAGATGGTTCATGTTATTTTGTTAATGAACAACAAGATACAGAAGTAGAGTTAACTGGTTCTGATTGTGATCCTATTTATTCCCTCTCTTGTGATGGTAGCCATATTTATTCTGCTTGTCGTGATGGGAACATCAGACGATACTGTCTCAATCATTTCTAATCAAATTCATTGATTTAAGTGAAAAGAAAATGTTGAATTGGGTTGATCGGATCTGTTATTTCAATTATTAATGAGGCAAGCACAGTACAATTATGTTTTTGTTTTAAAGATTAAGTTGGCTTGTTTATTAGATTATAGTTTTATTTTTGGCACAATTGTCAGATTGTCATAGCACAAAACAAATCTACATATGATATCCATTGGAATTGACAATTTTATTTTGGACCCGATTCAAAGATGTCTTAATCATTTTAAGTTCTTGTTAACAGTCTTTGTGGCAGTCTTACTTTTAAATCGCTAATTAACATTAGCTAATATAAGATCACTGTATACAGCCTTGAATACCAAAATGACTGTGTATATATTCCATGTCTCATATTACAATCAATAATAATAATGAATCATTTATATGTTTATCAGATTTAATCATTATTCAAATTTAGTGCAAATTAATTATTTAATCAACAATCAGAAGATAAATGATATTGATTGTAGTTACTACACAGTAATATGTTACATATACATGCATGAGGTAAATTAAAGTAAACAATGGCTATTTTTCATTGATAAAATGAACAGAACATATTGCATGAATTCTTTATTATGTTCATACAATATCAGTTTTTCTCTCTCAAAATGTTGTCAGGTTTTTAAAACCTTTAATTAGAAATAAATAATAGAATCTTTAAAAGTGAAGGAAATGGGGAGAAAATTATATTTAAAATTATTTTTGTATAATGTACATAAAAAAACCTTTTGTTACTGTAAATAGATTGAAGACAATAAACCTTTATACATAATAATATAGTGGTATTTTACTACATATACAAATTAAAGACAATACACCATTACATGGTTGTATATTGTTATGTATACATGTAAACATATACAGATAATCATAATGCATGCTTATTCTGGATCTTCAAGGGTGGTTCATACAAAAGGAGGGTTGTAGTTGCATGTTTCATTCATTCAAAGTTTTGCAGCCCCCATATGAAGCAACCATATTTAGGGCTGTATGCAGTGTTTTTACATTAAATAAGTCATTTTTCACAATTTCTATCCTCCATGAGTGTTTGTAAATTTTAGAATTTGGTGTCTTCCATTTTACATTCAGTAACATATTTCTTTCTGATCAGTTTCTATGATTGATGCTTAAATTCAACTTTTAATATTTCAATGTAATTTAAGTTGGGAGCATACATACATGTACAACCCTTCATATTTACAGAATACTCAAGTAGACGTGATGAGTATTGGTATACGCATCTTGACTTTTTTTTAGAAAAAAGAACCCACCAAACTAACAGTGTTATTTACTGTTCGATAATATGCGAATCTTGAAACAAGACCTACTACATAATTTGAGTTATATAGCAACGTTTATGACAATATTAAACACTTTCATTTAAAAGTTGATTCAGTGTAATATTTATGTATTAGAAAGTATTGTGTACACTTGCTATGCCTACTAACAGGTATATAATATATGTGAATATCAGATTACCGGTAATACAAAATGATGTTATGACTCACCCTGTATTATTGATTAAATGTTAAAATAATATAACAGCTAACTTCAATAAATAATATTATAAACAATTTGAAAGGTGGTAATTTATGGTTGTTACCAGTCAATACATTTGAAAATGGGTCAACCACACCATGCGTCCAGTCACTTAAAATGCAATTTAAAATTGAGAAATTATGCTTGAAAACTACTCAGAAATCGTAATCTATGCGTCCATAGATAAGGGTTTTGGAAGTTTGAGTCGGTGTAACAAAAATCAAAGAGCTAAGGACTCCCTGTTTCTATGAACGTTAACTCTGATGAAACACGTTGTCGAAGCTTCAACCCGCAACACCCGACTATTTGTTGGCGATACTGCGATATATTGTTGTACCTTATTGGAGATAATTGAACAACATTTATTTAAGTAACAGCACAATGTTTGAGGAAATTCCTTTATTATCCAGGCTTGTAAATATATTAATCAATTGTTTGGGGTCCATATGGAGCTCAGTAACCTAACATTGTCGAGGTCTTCTACAATTGCCGTACACACTGTCGGTTGAAAATTGTTGATATAGAATATGCCCTAAGCTATGTTACGAATTTTCTTTTATTGTTGAATAAAAATAAACGCAATGTATGTGAATACTCACAGGGTCGGATTAACATTTTCAGGACACCTGGGCAGGATGGGCTACATGTACTGTATGGCCCTTATTAATATTTTCAAAATTCGAACTTGCCCATGGATGGTGTGCTTGAAAGTTTTAGCCACTGGCCGTCCCTGGGATACAGTTCAGTGTTTCTTTTTTTTCCGTGGTATGTTTACTACATATAGATAATTTAGAGTACTTATATTTTAATTCAACAAATGAAAATAAGAATTTTCATTTAATCTCTCACGACCATATGCAACTGGCGTGTATCATTTCTTAATCCGACCTTGAATACTTGAAGCTTTATATATAGCGAGGATGGAGTACATCATTTCCGAGCAAAAAAGACATGGCACATCTAAAATTTATTAAACTATATTTTGTTTTGCGACGAATTTAATTACATTGGTAAATCGTTGGTCAAATCATGTCACACCTGTTACAAAGCGTTCTTTAATATAATGGATATAGCCAAACAATCCTTTAAGTTGTTATTGATAGGAGTTACTCAATAATAAAACCTGTTATAATCTAAATATTTTCTCTCATAATTATTTGAATTCATTTGTTAATCGGTCGGCATTTACGTCGATAGGAATTCGGATTAAAGCGATGATGAATAGTCCACATATGGATGAATAATGTAATATTTATATTATTTTATTCAGCGAGCTTGTTCTTATATGGAAATAATCATTTTCTATATCACCACATATAAATTGCCGGTATGTACTTGTTTAATAGTATAGCAGACTACCGCCCCAGGTAATCACGTGACCGTTCTCACCAAGACACGTACGTCAATGTAGGTTTACACCGACAGCCGTTGATAACGGTAAATAGTCAATGACATATTTGAGGCCTACTACTGTATTGTTTTACCACCATGAAATAACTTCTATGAGGTAGGTTTATTTTATCAGTTCCTTACATCTATAAGATACCCGTTCACCTGTACTGTATTCAATAAGCAATGGATAATTAGTCAACGATCAGCAATTCACATTGATAGTGACACAGAGAAAGTCTATTCTCAATCACTATAATAGTACATGTATGTATATATATATTTATAGAATACAAATGCATTTCTTTAGTATACTACATGACAACGATGTATATTGATGGTTAGGTTTACATAATTGTCACTTATGACATAAGCATTTTGTGCTCCTCAAAAGTTAAAATATGCCGTATATTTATTTACACTGAACATTACATTGGGAATAGTCATCTCCAATTTGGTTTACAGGAGCCAGGGATTTCTGTTTACTCAAGAAAAGAATAACATAAAAGAGGGATGTGGATTGGGTCGGGAAGGAAGGCCGCAATTTTGATCTCGGACATCAATTTATACTTTTAAAATTATAAAAAGTTTTGACCTCAGATATCAATTTATACTTTTTAAGTACCACATTTAATGCATTGCTTCCAGTATCAATGTCGCCTTCGACGATATTCACTGGCATTCGCATGGAACCAACATTCAGGAATTGAAACTGATTCTTTCCGTGACCTTTTTACCGTTAGTCAGTCGTTTTTGATTTTGATTTCAAAATGATATTGCACTGCTTCAGACCATGATAAGATAGCAAGAGCCATTTAGCTTTAATAAGAAATTTTATAGGTCATAACAATAAACATATTATCTAGTATATTTATGAGATCTGTAATCTTTAAAGCGACTCCAGGTAGAGTTGTAACATGGACTAAATCACGATCACTAAACGTACATCCGTTATCGTCAGTGTAAACATCAAAGTAAAACAAATATTATTTTTTAAATTCAAGAACTATAGTATCCTACATGACTAACCCACAAAAATGACAACTGTAAAATATTAATGAATAGACATAATAAATGAAATGAAATGAAATGAAATGGGGTTTAACGTCCTACTGTTCTGCTCCTATACTGGGCTAATGAAGACGGGCATACGCCATACAGTGTGCTATGAGGGAAATTTTGCCCGGGCAGCGGCACTATCGCCTACTCTTATATCGAATTCCAACTGCCAAGGGATCTTTTACGTGCATTCCAATGTTTACACAGGACCTCGGTTTTTCGTCTCATCCGAAGGACTAGACAGCTGTCCTTGTCAGGCCTTCCGTCCTGCATCACTGACAAGAGGAAACCACGTCGGAAAATCGGAATGAACTCTCTCGGCCAATGCAGGGATCGAACACCCGACCTCCAGGCTAGCGAGCCAGCGCCTTACCGACATATAATTGAATAATACTGCCTAACTAAACACAATTTTATCAGATGAATCATCAACATTTTTTTATGAATTGTTGTCTATAATACGTAAATAAAGGAAATTTTATCACATGAATCATCTACATTCGTAAGATTATTACATGTTATTTCTTTGTTATATTTTATTTTCTATTCATGATAATATTTCATAAATGATCAGTGATTTATATTTTACTTACGTCACTCCAAAACACCTTATACAAACAACATAACATAAGAAATTCAAATCTGAGCAGTCACACGGCAGCACAATGTATCGAGGTCATATACTGTATAACGTACCTTTTGAAATATGAACAAAGGAAACCCACAGTGAATTGTGCATAAAATCATAAATTATAGTATAGGACGTATTAACACCTATATTGACCCTTTATTGGCTCGGTCACACTGCACCCATTTCTGCGAACGTCTTGGATGTATAATTTGTGATCGGTAATATTCAGTACCTTATCGGTACTTGACTTTCGACAAAATGCACCTTTCAAATCGAAGAACGGCGAATAATGAGCTTGATATTATTTGATCACCATATGCACTAAAGTTATTTTATAATATAATTCATAGGCGTATTTAAGTCTCCGGACCAAATCCATATACATTTTCTAACCCCAAGCTATCTTGTAGGGAACCTTAGAAATAGCCATCGCAGAAACTGATCATGTACGGACCAAGAGAAATTCATTATTCTGCTGTGTCCAGTGGAATGTTTGTTTGATGGAGTCTGTAATTCTTGTTATATTGATTGGATAGAAAGTAGAACACAGAACTCAACGGATAGTGTATTATATAGATAATAACCTCCATTTTGACAAAAGTAAACTAGTAGTGTTACGTAAATTATTGCTTGAATCAGTCATTTTTGAGAGTTCACTACCTCAAATATTCATGTTAAGCATATAAAAAATATGCCAAAACTGTTTCAAGATTATAGTAATATTGCGTCAGATTTTGTAAAATACTGTCGTTTTCTTTCAAATGTCAAGTTTTCACAAAAGTTTTTAAAAAATGTCCCATTCTTATTTTGGTGGTTTCCTCTTTGTTGGTGCAAGCAAATGCTTAGTTCATTGATTAGTCCAGGGCTGATTTACGCGACACATTTCGAAAAGGTTTTTACAATACGGCTATTTTGGTGAAAACCGATAGACATATACATAATCTTATGGTCACTTAACATTTTCACAATAATAACTTTCCCACATATAATGTGATAATTTGTATAGATATGTAGATACTATAAACCACTCTATACTGTATAAAATATACTTTTATTCTGATCAAAGACTAGATTTAATACTATTCATAGCTTTGAAATACCTGAACCATATCTAAAAGATCTACTAGTTCATCAATAACTATATCATGTATATATATGTATTGCAGATTATAAATTTGATATTTTCTTGAATAATTAATTGACATACAGTTTCGCCGCTAGGTAAAATGATAATGATTATGTCTATGTGGAGAATTAAAAACGAAATAAAGATATCATAGCTATACGGATATTTTTGATTTTTTATGTATATTATATAAGTATATGCGTTAGGTCGCGCATAAGATTTTGGAGCAGTGATTCTCAACCAGTGAAATTTTGAACGGCACATTAAGAAAATTTCTCACTGAAGTTCATAGCCGTGTTTTTCTTTATTTACTATGGGTCATTCTATGTGTCAATTACTAGTCTGTGCCTACGGTTGTATGCCGTCTTTGTTTTCATATATATTTATCTAGGTGTGCCGCTATTTTTTCATGTATTCCAAGGTCTGCCGTTGGCAAAAAAGGGTTGAGAACCATTGCTTTGGAGGATTTGTCTTTGCCAGAAATTCCACAATTATAATTTTACAGTGCAAGATAAGATACATTTTTATTGCATTACTAATGAATTAGTCAAATGATATTACAAATCGCATGTGAACTTATTTTTGCGATTAAATTTATCATCCTTTTCAATGTTCCATTTCAGAAGTTTTTAAATTGATCACTTGTTCCAAATTTAACTCTTGATATTTTTATACGACGTTATGTATATACAATCTATTAAAAATCCTAGAAATGTAAAATGTTTTCTGCGATTGAATTATGATCTTAATAGCCTATTTCTTCTTTGGATATTTACCAAGCTTTCTATCCCTATTTCTATGAAGGGTGGTCGTTAATGGATTAATTCGGCGAATGTGTCTGTAAGATGGGATTAACTCGATGACAGCTCAATAGTCGTATCTATATGTCAACAAGAGTGAGTTTGTTTTGTGGTCGTAAAGTTAATTTGAAGTGAACTCATGACACACGACTAGAAGAGAATGCAAACCATCTATCAAAAAACAAAGTATTAAAAATTCTTTTGACCTTTATTTAAACAGGTCCTTCTTCTAATCCACATTCTTGTAGGGTTTTCTCGGGCTGTTCTTTTTATCACTGGGCTTTACAAAATTTTGCCAAAAAAACACCCCAGAGTTTCATTGACAGTCGATTCAGCAATTAAGTTAAATTCGAAAATTATCTAAGCCTGGGTGGTAGTACACTGTGGTTGAATTCTGCAAATCAAATGCTAAAATGAAAAAGTTTATTACTGTCTATTAAAGTTTCGGCTGAGCTATTTGAGCGCCAAAGCCATCCGCGGCCAGCGAGGTGGCGACGGGCTTGCAAATAACGTATTGGTTATGGTGCAAGTCGTGGTAACCTTATAAAGTTAAACCTTTTGATTGCCGGGGAAAAAAATCATTATAGCCCATTTATATCATTTATTCATTTACTTTCTGTAAGTCTGGCTTGATTTAGGTCACCTTCGACACTCAGTATACCTGTAGCTACAGACCCGACGGACAGGTGGGTTATATGTATTGTATATCTATACGAACAACAAATTTCAAGGTAATCGGTTTATATTATTGATTGGATGAAAACAAAATACACTTAAATCTAAATTTCGACATTTTACAGTTGAAGAAATAAAAATACTTTCTCTAAAACATGAATTTCCCTTCTGCTCGCTTTCTCAAATCACATAGAGCACCGCCAAAATCAGTTACATAATGAAGCTTATATTTTGTCTTACCACATTAGCAAATAATTTCGGCAACATCACCAAATGAAAGGAGCTAAATTTCTAACTCAATATCTTCCATGGTATTCGAAATTAAAAACACGAATTAGAATTCAATATTGATCAATTTCCATCAATATTTATGTCGTTATCTTGCTGTGAAAATATAGGATCCATATCCAATATTTAAGCCACAATTAACATGTATATTATAATCAGTGCACGAGTCGTGTATTCTATGGTTTCGGGCGCCATTTTGTAATGAACAAATAAAAACATATCCTACAAGATAATGTGGAAATAATTAGTAAAGGCTGATTCACAAAAGACAAAATGATAATTAAAAAAAACGTGTAGAATGGACTAAGCAAGCGTAAACGATCGTCGTTCAATTTGAACTTTTCACGTATTTCACCGAACATAATTAATTAGAAATTACAATATATTTTTTAAAAATTGAATATAATTCACTTTAGATACATTCATATTACATTAAAGCGTCATTAAGTAAGATTAGATAAAGAGCTGACAGTTCTCGCTAGAATAATTTAAAAAATAGATAATGAAAAGAGAATAGGTTGAGAATGTCAGTCAAATTA